CGTATGCCCGTCTTCATTAGCTCAGTTCGGAGCAGAACCCGTAGGACGTTAAACCCCATTTTATTTTCATGTCATTGCCATTCAATTTGCCATACTTCGCCGAACATAACTGATTAGAAATTACACTGCAACAGAAACGATTGAATGTTAATGAGTTTATATACATTCATGTATATACATTCATGAGTTTATATACATTCATATTACATTATTATATGCGTTGCGACCCATTTGTGACAATTTCGAGGTCCAAGAGAATAGCGATTTAACTCCTTTAGCATGAAGGCTGTTGTTCCACATGCTATGTATTTGTTGGTTTGCTTTTAAAAACAAATTTCTTTCGACCTTTAGATTATTTCAAATTGACATCTGAAATATTCCTTCACGTGTGCCCTTTTCTTTAAATGTAGATATATACAAAACCTGAAACTAGTATCAGAAAATTTCCTGTCTGTGATGGTCGATGATGATAGAGATGGCGATGTATTGCACCGTAATCCACAGTTTTGGTTGATGAAAGGTAAAACTAAGGAGCAAGCAGATGAGATTTTAGCTGATAAACCACGTGGTACATTTTTAGTAAGATACAGTAAAGGTGATGCTCGCTATATTTTATCAGTCATGTAAGTGATGTATTTTTCATAATTTCGCTGGTTTTAGTGTTGGATTATATGCTTAACCATGTAGGCAGTGACAGGGGCGGATCCAGGAGTTTTTGCAGGAGGGGGTTTGTCCGGTTCCTGAGAAAAGGTATCCTCCCCCTCCCTCATCGACTTGAAATTTTATGAGAAATAAAAAAAATGAAATGAAATGGAGTTTAACGTCCTACTGTTCTGCTCCTAACCTGGGCTAATGAAGACGGGCATACGCCATACAGTGTGCTATGAGGGAAATTTTGCCCGGACAGCGGCACTACGACCTACTCTTATATCGAATTCCAACTGCCAAGGGATCTTTTACGTGCACGCCAATGTGTACACGGGACCTCGGTTTTTCGTCCCATCCGAACGACTAGACAGCTTTCCTTGTCAGCCCCTCCGTCCTGCATCACTGACAAGGGAAAACCACGCCGGAAAATCTGGATGAACTTTCTCGGCCAATGCAGGGATCGAACACCCGACCTCCAGGCTAGCGAGCTAGCGTCTTACCCACTTAGCCACGTGGTCCCCTTTTGAGAAATACATGGTCTCTATCGTCATTTTGGCGTATATACATACACATTGATCTTTTTAAACAGAGACATTCAACATCCTGTTTGACATCAATTTTTATTATGAATTAATACGATGACATTGTGATTCAATTTTATTGATGCAAAGCATTAATTGTGATATCCCACATGTCTATATCATTATCTCGCGCTTTGAGTGCCCATCCTGTCGCACCATCTGACGATAAAGGATAAAGCCCAATTATAACACTTTTCTCATAAAAAAGGTTGGATTACAAAATTTTTTATGTAGCTGAGCAGTGTCGGATATAGATGAGACCCTATAGGCTAATCTTCTAGACGAAGTGTAAGGAAAATTATTGAGAGAATTTTTAGAGACTACACAGTGCGTATAAGAAAGGCATACACGATAGTGTCAAAGATATTATAAACCTTGGCCACCCCCACCCCCAGCAAATTTAAATCCCAACCCCCAGCCTATGGTGTACTCCGGTACTGCATGTAGAGATGTTAAATTTAAAAAAAAAAGTTTGCGTGCAAAGAGAGAGAGAGAGAGAGAGAGAGAGAGAAATGGGGTTAACGTCCACTCGACACAAACTAGGCCATTTCGGGACTAACATATGGTTTAATTTTATTTCAATACTTCACTTGCGCGTAAGGGTCTTTAGCAGTTGAGGGAAACCGAAGAATCCGGAGAAAACCCACGAGGTTGGACAGGCGACCCTACTCCTTGCCACGCCAGTTGACTCAGTGACAGACTTTATGATACAGCGCGCACAGGCTAACCATTCAGCCATCCAACCCCCCTTGCGTGCAAGGAAGATGTGCAGCCAATTAACCTGTTCACCTTAGTCTTGCCCGTCTTCTTGTTCTTGGCCGGCATGCTTATTCTTTGGACGATGATGCGTCGATTGAAAAGTTTTGAAGCCACAACTCCAAGATGGCGGTGATGACCCCATGCTCGGTTCCTAGTTCACATGGTATGCTCGTGCATGTTTCCTGACAATTTACTATATGTCAACTGTAACCCACACACTTCAATTTGTGGGTTACTTTATTCTTTTTTTATACCGAAGACTCCCTTTTTAAAAATTCCTATATTATCATCTCATTTTATAGATGGGCTTAAATTGAAAATATATAACTATGTTTTATATTTCAGGTGTGACGAGGAAGTAAAACATTTTGATATTTTCTATTCACCTATTCATCAATCATATGGTTTAAGTCCAAACACCTGTTTATTTAAATCATTAACAGAATTAATCACCAAATATCGTCGTATTTCATTAACAGAACATTTCCAAGTTACTGATCTTAATCTAATTTGTCCAGTCATAGCTGTCTAATACCCCCAACACACACAGATTCTTGTAAAAAATAATTGTTTACTTTGTTTTGTAATAGTGCTGAAATTGTTACTACTCGTTAGTAGGCTACCGTGTTGACGAAACGAAAAATCAGAAGTACAAAATATGAGTTCACGATGTTAACATGGAGTGGCAGTCGAGTGAACCTGGAAGCATGGGTCACAATTATCATTATGTTTTAACTGAGATGTATATATATATATATTATCTGTATAAAATATGTATATATAAATAAATTGGTACATATATTTTTATTTTAAAGTGAGCTTATTCCCCTATTAATCCCCTATTGTTGTATAAATTATATATTATTTATCTGTTAGACAATGGGGCACTGACTGTATATTAATAACACAAATGAACACAAGGTCAAAACCACGTGACATAAAATAAAAATATGGACATTACGTGTGGAAATTGGCGTAAATACAAAGATGGAAACAAAAGGGTCAGATTCGTGAACCTGACATAGATAAGTCTAGTAACATGTGTTATGAAATGACCACAAGTAATGACCAGAGTTAATGGAGGTAATGATAGAATGTAAGTAACATAAGTATACAGAAGGATTTTCAAAGAGAAAAAAACGAAATTTGGGGCAATAGTTCTTTGGTTGTTGGGGAACGTGTCTTTCTGACCTATTTTATGTCTTTCCCTTTTACGAGACACCCACGAAACACTTTGCGACACTGTTGTCGCTCTAATACTGTGATATGAACAGGGCGAGCTTTTACATGCCCACTGTTTAATACAAATTGAAACTACAATATTTAAGGAATGAGTCATATAAATTATTACTTTTGCAAGTTTAAAGGAGCTAAATCGCTAATATTTGGGACCTAGAAATGGACACAAATGGTTCGTAACGCATATAATAATATATCATGAATGTATATAAACTGATTTATGTTCAATAGTTTCTGTTTTTACTGTAAATTCTAATCAGTTATGTTTGGCGAAATACGCCTGAAGTCTCAATCGAATGACAGTCTCTAGCGTCTGGTTATTCCAGTCTTTCCAGATACGAATATAGGTCACCGTTTGACATGACTTGTGGCACACTGATTTGCAGTGAATATTCGCTAGGCCACGACAATCACTGATAAGGATGACATCGATGCGACATTAATGAGCCACAAATATTAACTTTTTTCCTCCGACAAATTAATTTCTAAAACATTTTTTTTATGTATTAGAAAAATAAATAAAGACGTTTGAAGTATTTGTAGGTAAAAATTATTTCCTATTTTAGTGTAAATGGGTATTAAAATGAGTAAAAGGCGTCATTCTGCTCGAATCAGTAACGTCTTATGTAAACAATGCACGCGCCATTGAGCCAATGATAGACGCCGCGTGATATGACGTCATGTGTTGAAGACAGTCATCTTTTACAGAGATATTAGAAGACTTTCGTAATACTCTGTAAAACAGATTGGACTTGTGGAATATGTCTAATCTCGTTCTTCGAGCCCCTTGTTAAGAATGGCACTGAAACGCATTAATATGGTACACCATTCGTGTACCAATGGTAAAATGTTTATTTTGTCTTGAGTTTTGGATAAGCCTATCAGAAGCACAATGTCGAATACTTTGGATGATATTGAGTTAGAGACTTTAAATCAGTTTATATATATTCATATTACATTATGGCGGTCACGGTGGCTAAGTGGGTAGGACGCTGGCCCGCTAGCCTGGAGGTCGGGTGTTCTATTCCAGCATTGGCCGAGAAAGTTCATCCAGATTTTCCTTCGTGGTTCCCCCTTGTCAGGGATGCAGGACGGAGGGCCTGACAAGGACAGCTGTCTAGTCGTCCGGATGGGCCAAAAAACCGAGGTCGTGTACACATTGGTGTGCACGTAAAAGATCCGCAGACAGTTGGAATTCGATATAAGAGTAGGCCGTAGTGCCGCTTTCCGGGCAAAATTTCCCTCATAGCATACTGTATGGCATATGCCCGTCTTCATTAGCCCAGTTCGGAACAGAACGGTAGGACGTTAAACCCCATTTCATTTCATTTCATTTTCATATCACATTATTATATTATTATATGCGTTGCGACCCATTTGTGTCAATTTCTAGGTATAAATGACCATACGAGTCACATGTATTAATATAAATGACGGTTATAAGTTGTATGGGTGACTGTACCCAGTAGTTGTTCAGAATGTTAAGTATGATGGACCATATTAGGGTTTATCAGAGATGTATGTCTCAAGTTGTGGAAAATCGGACAGAACAGAAGCAATGTAGACTTGTAAACTGTCCCAAAGAGTCCGCAAATGAGAAATAGTTGGGGACCACTAAATGCATGAACTTCTTAACGGCGTGTATCATCAAATAAACCTTGTCCAAAAAGAAAGAAAAAAACAAGTTGACGAACAAAAAAACGATGATTTCATATGACGGACAACTGTTTTTTGTTCACCAACAAAATACTTCCTTCTTTCATATAACACGGTTAGCCATTTGTAAATTATCCTCATTGGACATCCTCGTGTCTGTAATAATTGAACAGTTTTATACAAGTTGAACAAATGTAGTTCTCTTAAAGTAAATATAAGATAAGTTGACAGCTTCTAACAGATGAAAACACTTCAATGACAGAGGTTAGTGATGAATATTTTGTATGATCACATTATAAACACGTATGACATACGATTTCCTAGTAAATTTTAATTTTTGTGTCAAGTGTACATCTATGACTATTCTTTATATGTATAAATAGTATAGTCGCGAGAACTACATACCTGATATAAACAAGTAATAATGGATAGAAAAAAAGATAATAACTGTATGATCCTATTTACTCAAGAGTTTTGCAATCTATTTATGTAGGTTTATCCCTATTTGTAGACTGTAGGGTTGATGTGAGGGGTGAATGGGGAAGCTTTATATGTTGACTTATTATAGTTTCATTTTTGGTTTAGTCGTAATATTTTGAACAAAGACCCGAGAAAACAAATCAACATATAAAACTCAACGAAATAGACACTTTTAACATTGATCCAAATAAAAAATTCATTTACATATTATGAATGCGATGATATAAAATGCCGTACTATGTTTTCAAATATTTCCAAAATCAGTGTCGTCATCGTTCTTTAAATTCTATACGGGTATTGAAAGTACTAAGACGGGCGGACATTATTTTCATCATAGAAATGAAAGCAAATGAAATGATGTTTAATGTCCTATTTTTCTGTACCAACCGTTATAGTGAAGACAGACATATACCATGCAATGTGTTATGAGGAAAAATACTGTTTGCAACGACAGCCAGTGAACATGCGGAAAGATTGAATTACTGAGTCGAGTACATAATGGCTGCAACAGGTTCCATGATAAGACCCTGTTATCCGGCCCGTTTCTTTTTCAAACTTCCATTGGTTCGGACGTTTAGGAGAATTTTTACACCGAGTGACTGTTTATCACATGTGATAAGGAAGAATTTCACACTTTACCCTTCGGTTACAGACCGTATTATTAAACGATTTATATGAAGTTTACAGAATATGATAACATTAATAATTTATTTATTGGTTAGCCAAGAGATAATTGTCAACATTATATAGAGGTAGAATCTTTAAGAAATGTAGAGACAAGGAAATCAAGTATAAGTGAATTAAATTATTACTGGGAAGATATTACCAGGTAGGTACATGACCTCTACCCAATTTATACACACAAATATTCATATGACCTCTACCCAATTTATACAAACAGATATTCATATGACCTCTACCCAATTTATACAAACAGATATTCATATGACCTCTACCCAATTTATACAAACAGATATTCATTTCATCAAACTTGCCATGTCTAAAATTTAAAACATTGAAATTAAACGTTTATAATACTCTGTGTGTATTATGGTTGCTGTTTAACAACCATATACATCGTTCTATTGGAAACAACGAAACTACCTAGCCGAGAAGATCTATGGAGGGGTATCGGGTACAAAATACGATGTAACAGTAAAAAGTAGGGATCCATCTAATAATAATAATAATGATATTTGTATCGCGCAACTATTCAATCCACTCTGTCCTGAATGGCCTCCATATCCAAAAATTAGTATAATTGTTTTGTAATGCGGTTCTACTCCGTTTCACATCTGACATACACACAAAGACTAAATAAACCTATTCAATTCCATTAAAGCGATAATTTCATATTTTCTAAGGTCAAAACATAAATATGCTCAATAGGTTGTCAACTCACTATTATACGCTCATAGGTATTATTCTCCCACTTAAAAATCCTTTGACTCCGGAAATAATAACACAATTACCTCCCTTGTGTTTGTATTCCCCCCATGGAATAGCTATCTCCAAACGTTTGAATTTGAAGTTGAAAATGATATTTTTGCCAATTTCTCAACTGGAAATAGTGAATTATAGGATTAATAGGATTATTCTTTAACAAGGTAGGACAGTTTATAGATACCATCTATTTTAAGGCTTTATTTTAATAAATTTTAAAAACATAACTTAAAAATAAATGGAAGCAGAAAAAATACTTCTGAAAAATTCACAAACTAGGTCATTTCGGGACTAACATATGGTTTAATTTTATTTCCATAATTCGCTTGCGCGTAGGGGTCTTTAGCAGTGGGAGGAAACCGGAGGAAACCCACGAAGTTGGACAGGCGACCCTACTCCTTGTCACGCTTTTTGCGATCGCTTTGGTTTGATTGTCCCCCTAAAATTCAGTTATTTAAAAGATCTGTAATTTTGGGGAATATTAATTTTTTTTTAATAAAATGTTACTGAAAAGAGATGTGTATTATTGTTGTCACCGGTTAGGTTTCCCAGAAAAATTTAATTTGCGTTTTCAATTGATAAACGTAAAACCATCAAACCCAGTGTTCTATCCAGTGCCGGAGGAGTGGGTGGTCATAAGGTTTGTCATTGAGTCAGGTGGTGTGGTTTCGAGTTAGATCGCGTGTCTAATCTTGTAGGGGTTTCTGTGGTTCCTCCGTTATCCTCCCACTGCTGAAGACTGCGTGCGAAATGATTTTGTTTATTTCATTTAGAGAGGAAGCCAATGAAAAATTATTGGATGCTGTTGACGGAAGTTTTCTTGTTCGTGATTCGTCAACTGAGGGAGAGTATACTCTTGTCTTGAGGTAAATTATTGAATAATTATATAATTGATAGCTATTAAATCCAAATGGCCGTCAAACAATGACTAATAAGATATTTAAAAATGTAAAATAATGAGAAAATGTAAGCAGCAAGAAAATGTCAGCACACAAGAAACGTGGTTTACATTTAAAGTTTTCTTTAGCGATTACACTTGCAGATTTAGTACCAACTGCTCGTTATGAATATTATACCAAAAGTTTTAGTGCACAAATACACTGAATGATAGCCTTCAAAAAATCATATATTAGTCTGAATATCCTTGCCGAATACCTTTGAAGAGGCATTAGTCCAAGATATCCAGACCTATATTAAAACACTTAATTGTTTAATATCTTTGAATATGTTTTGTATTTATCAGGAAAAATGGAACAAACAAGTGTATTAAGATATTACATCAAGATGGAAAATATGGTTTTGTTGAACCATGTACATTTAATAGTATATCAGAGATTGTTGATTATTTTTCAAAGAATTCTTTAGAACAGTATAACCCAGCATTAGATATTAAACTTCTATATCCCATATGGAACAACAATGATGAGGTAAATATATATTTTAAAACCTACATTAATTTATTTCACCTTTAGATAGTAGTATTTTACATACATGGATTTCTTTCACCTACCCACAGAAGTGAAGTCAATTTTCAAGATTGTATGGCTCTGTACTTTGAAAAGGTATGGCCATTCAGTGCCTTGTAGCAGTAAGCATTAAAGCAACGATGCCCAAGAAGCCAATATTTACATTTTCCAAAATATAACGAATATGAGGACTGAATAGTATTTTTATAGAGATTTAGAGGATTAAATAAACAATCTGGGTTAGATGCAATATTAATCACGATGTTCACAGATATAAATGAGTTGTCGTTGATTTACGATTTCAAGTCAATAAATCTAGCTGCGTAAAACAAAAAGTAAGTACTTGAAATTTTCGATGACCCTAACTCAAGTTATGATTTGTCGATTTGCATAATTTCTAGACCAATATGCTTTTTTAATAAAGACTATATACATTGTATACCCTCATTAAAGGCGTTCACAAAGCTAACTTGATTAGTCGATTTGCATAATTTCTAGACCAATATGCCTTTTTTATATTTACTAAACAGCAAAAAAAACCCAAAACGTCAGTACGATTTCAAAATCAGAGAGGCACTTTAATCAAAACGACTTACTAAATGGATCGAAGAAATTTTGACACATTAGTGATTAATTAATTAATCACAATTCCATGACATTACGAGAAGGTTTAGAGTCTGTACACAATCTATACATCAATATCTGGTCACGTCGACGCCATATTCTGGTCCTGCCATCTGCAGTTGATACGCAATACCGATTCTTATCTGTGAACATAACAGTTCTCCATTGCCAGTTCTGGTGTTGTTGGGCAAACTGTAGACGTTTACGTCGATGGCGAGGGGCGAAGATCGGTCCACGGTAAGGTCTACGGCAATGGATGTTCTCTCTGGTGGGTCTTTCGTGTGTTCCCAATGTCTGACGTGCTGTCTCAGATGCCTGTGAGAAGGGATTCTGCACGTGCTGTCGCACAACATGGCGGTCTTGTCGCCTTGTGGTAAACCTTGGTCTACCAGTTCGGGGGTGATCATCCGTGGTGTTGGTGACCCGAAAGCGTTGCTGAAGCCTGTAGATGGTCCGAACATTGACCTGGAAGTGATTTGGCTACGGCTTGGGCAGTGTGGCCAGCGTCGAGTCTTCCAAGTGCCTGGTTCCTCTGGGCTGCTGTGAGTCGTGACATGCTGCTGACGTTGTAGTGTGAATGATTCAACCAGGTATGGGGGTGCATTTTATAGGGCTGGTCCCGGTGAACAGCACGTGCAACATGAGTTGCATGAAAATCATTGAGAACACATTACCATCTCAGAAGTCAGGTTGCGTTTTTGAGAACATTTCCTGGGTTCAATTCTGTGTTTGGAAAGGAGCCTTATTGCTCAGGTAAAGTTGGAGATGTGGTTACCAATACACAATAAAAACATTTGGCAAGTTTGTTGCAATGCGTCTATTCAGAGTAACATACTAACCTGACATTTCTTTTGCTGCTTAGTATATATACATTTTATAGCCTCATTAGAAGCATCCACAACGCTAATTATAAGGTTTATATCTTACGTATTTGTGTACATTCGTTTAACATCCATATTGAATAATGATATATTTACAGCTAGCTGTATCATATGAAGATATAGAAAGATCCATGCATTATTTAGTTGAAATCAACACATCACATCTAGATCTGGTTCAGTCATTTGAAAGAGCTAAAACAAAACTTGACTATGTGCATGAGGTATGTAACTAAAATAGTATAGACTGAAACGATTCCCATTCATTTGTCAATTTATTGACCTATGGGGGGAATACGTACGTCGGCCTAATCCCAATTTATAGCAGGGTGGTCCTGGTTATGAAGTGACTGATCCGATATTCAAATACATCCACCTTCACCCATTAGTTTTGGAATATACATCTTATAGAATAAATATTGTTACTTGGTAGTATTATATTCAAGTATGAAATCCAAGTCACAACTCTCTCTAATTTAGCTGTCATTTGGTGGCTACTGCGATAGTTGAGGTTCTTGGGATTTTCACACGGAATCCAAGCCTAGTAAACCGTAGGTTTTAATCAGTATTTTCGTCAGTTGCTTTAATGATGCGATGGCACCGAGCAGAATGATCATGGTTGAAGTTTTAGGATAAAACGGCCTATGGTTGAATAATTTTATGAGATGGCAACTGGATATTGATTACCCGATGTCCTCGATACACATCATAAAATCACTCAAACCTATATTTTCTACAAAATCACGTTTATATTTTTAAAGTTACCCTCCATTCTTGTCAAAAACTGCCCCCACATCTTGTCCGAGCAATATAGGCTACAATTGTTGTCTGATTTTTCTGAAAATTTCCAGGAAACTATTATAATTGGATTCATACTTTTATGCCCCTTTCAAGCATAATATTTAATTGGTTATTTTTGTGAACGCAGGAAATGAAGAGATCACATTTAACAATATATGCTTTAGATGAGATGCTGAGAATGTTTCAAGAACAACAGAAATTAATAGAATATAATCAAAATATGATTAAAGCAGACGATCTTGAATGGTAAATATATATTTACTAAACTGGAACGAATATTGTTAGATTTGGTCCTTGGCTGTATCATGGAACTTGTGTGTGTATTTAGGGCTTCGAATTTAAGAGTGAAGATACACATATAGTTTAAATTTATTTTAAGGCTCTCTGCTCTTTGATATTCTTTCTCCTTAACACTTTTGTGAAATATAGTCCCAGATTTCACAGGACGCCGTAAATAAAAACTAAGTTAAAGAATGAATATCAAACTCTAATAAATCAAAATCTTGAGCTGTTTGCTAAATTTGATTTGTGGGCTTAATGGCGGCAATTTAACACTATATCAGACATGGTTATTCCACCCCTTTTTATTCCTCTCAGATTTTTGTTTAATTTGAAGGTTTTTTCTGTTCATACTTCAGTATATCGAACAACAATGTAAGATTAGCGAGTCGCTTAAATGAAATAGAACAGAGTTTAAAAGAACAATATATAGTTATAAAAGACTATACTAACCAGTATCATCAATTAACAGCTGATATATGTAATAAAAAACTAGAAATAAAGCGATCAAATCAACTCCGTAATAATATTAGACGGTAAGTTTTTATATTTATATAAAAATATTCGTAGTGGGTCCCTTAAAATTACCAGCGCATTGAAGATGGTGATGGCACGTACGACAAAGTTGTTCGATCTGTTTCTCCACATATGATGAAAACAGAATGCTGGTTTCACAGATTACCACACATGAACTTGGAGCAGACATAAGTCGTTGAGATGTCCCTACAAGCATGGCTTCCGTCTTGTCATCATTCAGTTTCAGCTTATTCTCGTTCATCCACGATTTTACAGATCTAGAGCAGAGTATTGCCTGATGAAGAGACTTATCAATTTCATTTTGATATGCGTCACTGATTAATGGGGTGTCATCAGCTCAGGAAAAGTAAGTGATCCCGAAACTCTCTATTACATCACCAAGTCATTTTGTGTGTAAGACAAACAACACAAGCCGGATTAGGAACCCTTGGGTACACCACAATCAAATTGAACAGGATTTGATTCAGAACTGTTTTTAGTGTTCAATTTTGTTTCTGGAGCATATCTTATAAACCATTTAAGATATCTTCATGAAACTTTGTACAAAAATCAGCCTATTATAGTAGTTGCCTTTTGCTAATTTAGAATTTCTGAGATATAATAAATTTTGTGTTTCCTTATGCCTCCCAAACAAGTGCAAGGGCGTGGGATGGTGATGACTAGTCATCTTGTTGTCCCCCGCCTTTCGAAGAAAGCAGGGGACTATTAAAAAGGGTTTGTCCGTCTGTCTGTCTGTCCGTCTGTCTGTCCGTCCGTCCGTCTGTCTGTCCGTCACACTTTTTGGGACACAATAACTCTCCTTCTAATTGAGCTAGAATGTTCAAACTTGGTGTAGGTGTTTATTAGGTCAATGCCTTGATGGAGTTCGAAGATGAGCAATTTCTGCTTAGGGTAAGCAGAGATAAGCAATTTTATTGGATGATGCTTTGGGACATGATAACTTTAGTTCTAATTAGGTGAGAGTGATGCAACATGGTGTATAGTTTTATTACATCAATACCTTGACTATGTTCGATAATGAGCATTGTCTGCTCAGGGTAAGCAGAGCGATAAGTAATTTGATTGGCCGAGGCTTTGGGACACAATAACCCACCTTCTAATTGAGCTAGAATGTTCAAACTTGGTGTAGGTGTTTATTAGGTCAATGTCTTGATGGAGTTCGAGGATGAGCATTTTCTGCTTAGGGTAACTTAGTAAGCAGAGATAAGCAATTTGATTGGTTGATGCTTTGGGACGCAATAACTTTAGTTCTAATTAAGTGAGAGTGATGCAACTTGGTGTAATGATTATTGTCTGCTCAGGGTAAGCAGAGCCATAAGCAATTTAATTGGCCGAGATTCTGGAACAGAATAACTCTCCTTCTAATTGAGCTAGAATGTTCAAACTTGGTGTAGGTGTTTATTAGGTCAATGCCTTGGCCGAGTTCGAAGATGAGCATTTTCTGCTTCGGTAAGCAGAGATAAGCAATTTGATTGATTGATGCTTTGGGACACGATAACTTAAGTCCTAATTAAGTGAGAGTGATGAAATTTTGTGTATACCTTGACTAAGTTCGATAATGAGCATTTTCTGCTCAGGGTAAGCAGAGCGATGAGCAATTCGATTGGTTGAGACTTTGGAACACAATAACTCTCCTTCTAATTGAGTTAGAATGTTCACACTTGGCGTAGGCGTTCATTAGTTGAATTGGTGAATGCCTTGATGGAGTTCGATGATAAACATTGTCTGCTCATTCTATCTGATAGAGAGTGATAAAACTTAGTGTATAGGTGATAATCAGTTTGATTGCTTGATACTTTCGAAAAAAATAAATGTGCTATTACATATAATTAATATGTGTCATCTATTTATTTTGGGATTTCGGCGGTGAACATCAGCCTCACTGTTGGCTTGTTTTTATTAATTTAGGGAGAAAGGACAGATTGGACACGGGTCTGTAATTTCTGAGTATGTTACGATCCAGGCCAGATTTTTTGATTAGAAGTCTAACTACAGCTTGTTTAAATAATTTTGGAAAATAGCCTGTTTTCAAACTAGTGTTAATAATCACTGTAATTATCGGCAGAAGAAGGTCTAGATGTTCTGTTAAAAGTTTGGTTGGTATGGGGTTCATCTTCACTATAAGGCTCAAAATCAGTCAGATAATTATCACATTGGTGGTAGTGCAGAAATAAGAGTTTCAGTTACTCAATTGCACGGATTTAGTTGCTTCCTTAATATATCAATCTTATTCGAGAAATATTGATTGGGTGTTTGTAAGGCAATGATTAGTTTTTCAACGCAGTACTTTGATTTAGCTTCCTTGATATTTCTTGAAACCTTATCCCTAGCTTTATTGTACACTTGTCGGTAAACGTCTGCGTTCTTGCTTTGCCTTCGCCACATCTTCAGAGTACCATGATCTGCCAGGACGAAGTAGCACCACCTTTGTAACAACCGGTGCGTGTCTATCGAGAAAAGTGATCAATGTGTTGTTAAAAGCACAACATAATTCATCAATTTCAGAAGGAGGGTTCAATAAAAGATCTGAAGTTTTAAGATTGTTTCTTAATGCTCCTCTGTCTATGGATTTGACCTTTCTGAAAGACATAGTTTCTGTCTGTAATTTGGGTTTCTCAAAATTCCAAGTGGAAGAAATAAAGTAATGTTCTCATATTTGAATATCACTAACATTTACACTGTCAACTAAAACACTTAGTATGGATACAATCACTTTGTTTATTACACTGCAAGGTTTCAACGCCCCCCCCCCACCACCCACAAAAGAACCTGTACTATATCTATAACATTCAACGGTAAGGTATCGTACCAAATTAGGAGACTGCTTCTCAAGTATCCTGGGATAACGGTAACTTTCCTCAAAGGGTCAAGCATCAATGGCAACCTACAAGCAAATGGAAAGTTGAATCCAACCACCTCCACATCAACCTAAAGGCTATGTTTACCACATCAAGTGTAGCTGAAAAAAGTCGTACATAGGAGAAACACGGGTCACGTTTAACAAACGGTTGGACTAGCACAGACCTATACCCTGCAACAGTGACTCAGCTGACTTCACCCATGTCATAACCAACCGTCGGCTTACAGTTTATTGGTCGAAGGTAGAACCGAACTGAAGCCACTAGCATGACAAGAAAACGAGCATGGCAAGAAAACGAGGAAAATTCATGAAGCTACCCGGATACGCCGACACACCCTGGCCCTTAATCGTGACCAGGACGTTTACCTCCCCAGTCCCCAGAGCCTACGACCAAATCATTTAAAGCAATCATCAATATAAACGATAACTTAATTGACAACGTATAACGAAATGAAATGAAATGAAATGGGGTTTAGCGTCCTGGTGTTCTGCCCCGACTGGGCTAATGAAGACGGGGATAGATATAACACATCTACCTATAACATATCTATAACAGATTTATAAAATATATATAACATCTATAGCATATCTATCACACATCTATCTATAAGATAAAACCAAGTACGAACAATTCAACCCATTAGACAAAATTCGAAGTCCTAAAAAAACGGTATAGGCAAAAACAGTGGTAACAGGTGTCCGGAAGAGTAAGCCTACCCTGCCTGGCGCCACACCCGCCATAGCTGCATCCAAACCATAAGACGAAATCTCGTATGTAAAATAGCGTGATTGGCCAATGGACTATCCGTATGCAAAATGCACGTGATGAACAGTGTTATCGATGTATTAGACATAATCAGTGAGATAGTATACGTGCAGATTCCCTTCACACAGGCATCTGAGACAGCACGTCAGACAGTACCGATACAGTGCGTCGACGTCTCACCAGAGAGAACATCCATTGCCATAGACCTTACCGTGGATCGATCCTCACCCCTCGCCAGCATGACAACGCCCGTGCCCACACCACCAGAGTTACTCGGGACTTTCTACAGCAGAACGGTGTCAACATTATGCACTGGCCAGCCCTTAGTCCGGACTTAAACCCGATTGAACATCTTTGGGACGAAATGCAGAGGAGACTTAATAACGTCGTACCGAGACCAAACCGATGAATTGCGCCAGTCTTTTCTGAGAATGTGGTTCCAGGTGCCAATGACGTTCATCAATCGTACAGACGCTGCGTTGCTGTTATTGACACTCGCGGTGGACACACCAGATACTGATGTATAGACTATGTACAGACTAAACCTTCTCGCAATGTCATGGAATTGTGTTGAATTAATCACTAATGTGTCAACATACTGTTCACCAAAAATTGCTTTGGTCCATTTAGTAAGTCGTTTTCTAGAATGATTTGATTAAAGTGCCTCTCTTATTTTGAAATCGTACTGACGTTTTTGTTTGTTTGTTTATTTGCTGTTTACTATATTTGCAGACGTTATCAGTATGTGTATATTAGATAATTATGTTGATGGTAATATATATTTATAGACATGTAATATCAGATAATTATATTTATGGTAATATATATTTGTAGACATGCAATTAATATAGGTATGCCAGATAATTCTATTTGTGGTAATATTTTATATAGACGTGTAATTAATTTGGGTATATCAGATAATTATATTTACGGTAATATATATATTTATAGACGTGTAATTAATCTGGGTATATCAGATAATTATGTTGATGGATTATTAGAAGAAGAGAAGGATGAAGATATCCCTCATTATGATACACGGTTATGGCTATTACAGAAAGACAGAACAGAAGCTGATATTTTACTGGAAAATAAACCACATGGTAGTTTTTTAGTTCGACCTAAAGACACAAATACTCCATATATTCTGTCTGTCAAGTAAGTTGTTTATTATATATTTCCTCTATGTTTTACAATGTTATTACCATTATTATAGAAACTTTGCAATCCCTTTACTACAGCTCAAAAGTTTTTCAGATTTATTTTGACACTTGTCAAATTGTTTGATATTAATTGATATTTGTTTGGGTGGCCATACAGAGTTACAGTCCCTTTCAATAGGGTAAATAGAGGATGCAGTAAATTTATAGACCGGAAGCCCAGGGGGTCAACCTAGCTGAAAAGTGTACCAATTTTCTCCTGTATGATATCAATGTATGTATATCTGGTATCATCAGAATGTAAGTCTGCCGGGTTTCTGGTGATGGGTGTGGTATTCCACGCCCTAAATGCCATGATCCCCAACTAGGCTAGATTAGCTCAAAAGTGTACCACACCCACCACCAGAAACCCGGCAGACTTACATTCTGATGATACCAGATATACATACATTGATACCATATAGGAGAAAATTGGTACACTTTTCAGCTAGGTTAACCCCCTGGGCTCCTGCTCTATTACTTCATATGCATCATGGATTTTGATGTAACTTCATGGGCACGTCACTCATGATCATTAATACCAGCGGGTTGATATTTTGAAACGCAATAACTTTACTTCTATTGATTAGATTTTGATAAAATTTAAAAATACCTTTATTATCGTTTGTTTACTAGATATACTGTAGCGAATTTAATTATTATTTCAGATGTGTTGATAACGTAAAACATTGTAGAATATATTTAAATAAAAACAAGAAGACCTATGGCTTTACGAAGGAATTCTGTTTTTTCAAAACATTGACTGATTTGGTTATTAAATATCGTCGTATTTCACTGGTTACACACAATGAACATGTGGATGTTAATTTAATCTACCCAGCTCTATCTGTACATTGAAAACAAGAAGCAAGATCTGTCTGTGTTATATCTATCTATTTTTATAGCCCACATTTTCATTTTGATGTATTATGTCGTCGCCCCTGCACGTCTGTGTGTCCGTGCGTCCGTCTGTTCACGTTTGTTTTTGGACCGTCTACGGGTGACAATTTTTATTCGATTTCGAAGAAACTTAAAATAATAATGGGTTTATATCCCAAAGATCTCGGTTCCTTTCGATAATGGCACGTATCGGACCGTAACGTCATAGATTATTGCCCCTGAGTTTTCGAAAAATCGGTTGTTTTTTTTTTAGCTTGTAGAACCTTTAGAGATTACAGTTTTATCCGATTTTCATGAAACGTACAATATATTGCCTCCCAAAGATCTCGGTTCCTGTCAATATTTATCCGATTATAAAGAAACGTAAAATATGAGTTTATATCCCAAAGATCTCGGTTCCTTTCGATAATTGCACTTACCTAACCGTAACTTCATGAATTATTGCCCCCGATTGTTCGAAAAATAGCGTTTTTAGCAAATAGTGTAAAAGTGTGTAATACCAAGGTTGTGGATCCTCTAAGGGTCACAATTGCTATCCGATTTTGACGAAACTTACAAAATATATTTATATTCCAAAGATCTCCGTTCCTGTCGAAAGTTACTACCTAAAACCTCGTGAACGCGGTAGGGGTTTCACTTTTTAACAGATTTATTCGATGTGAAGCATTGGAACAAAGAGAGGGTGAGCCCTATTTCACAATTCTCCGTCCATCTATTGCAAAATGTGAGCGTATCTCGCATGACAACCGCTTGTATATTTTATAATTAACATCTGAATATGTAGGATAATAATCACCTTTAATCTCATTTTAAATACACCTTATATCACTGCCATTGCCAAAAACTTTATTCCAAACTCTTTTTAACATTATAGTACAAAGTTATCATTTTGTTTATGTTTATGCCCCGATAGTAAATGAATATTACAATTTTAAAGGATAAAATTATATAACATTTTGTGTATATTGATTTTTTTATTAGTTTGTATTAAGATATATGGAGATATCAATGTGTTTTATGAAAATACTAGCAGGATACCCGGCTTCGCTCGGGGGTCATAACTCCGAAACCGGACGTGGTAGACTAACGCCACCTGGCCTATGTTACTCCCCGGTCCGAGCTACCCCTATACCCCAAATTTCAGACTCAGGGCAGACCTAGTGTAGCCGCCAACCCCGAACAGACAGACAGACAGACATACAGACAAACGACAGTCACAAATATTAGTATAGATAGATAGATAGATATACTGTAAGGCTGTTGTTGGTATCCAATGAATGAATTGTACAAAGGGAAGTAACTCTCATCGAACAAGGTTAGGAGTTAGCCTAAATGAGAGAAGTCCAAATTATTCTAAATGCGTATTTATTAACAACAAATTATATAATATTATTTTAATGAAGACCTGGGCCCTGTTTCATGAAATTTTAGCTAAAGATAAAATCCAAATTTTAGTAGATACTTCAATTTTGATTGGCTTAGCACTAAAATCAATCTAATATACTATTCAAAAAAAGTAGGGGATATTTGATTTTTAAGTGTTATTAAAGTCACCTAATGAAACTGACGAAGAAACAAATGACAAAATGAAATGAAGTTCACATTCATCGATTTATTCCAAATGATCGTTAGACTAAGTAAGGCACAGACTGACCATTATAAGGGTAAAATGATACCCGGGGTCAAACAGCAAAGTTACCACAGCATCACAACCAAGTCAGTAACGGGTAAATCCTCCTCTGTTTGCCAAACAAGCATTGATCCGACGTGGCATACTCCTAATGAGACGTCTAAGGTCATTTTGGTTCAGATTGTCCCATTCCTGTTGCAACGCAGCAGCAAGTTCTTGGATATTGGCAGGACGTTGTTGACGTTGACGTAACCTCTGTCCAAGCATGTCCCAGACATGCTCGATGGGGGAGAGGTCGGGACTCAGTGCTGGCCAAGGTAATGTGGTGATGTTCTGTTGTTGGAGGTAACCTGTAACGATCCTGGCCCTGTGACATCTTGCGTTGTCATCCTGGAAGATGAAACGGCGGCCATGACGTCGTGCGAACGGCACAACATGGACTGCCAAGATGTTGTCCCGGTAGTACTGGCCTGTAACACGCCCTGCAACAACATGTAAAGCCGTTCTTCCAGCAACAGTGATGCCTCCCCACACCATAACAGAACCACCCCCAAATCGATCATGTCTGGTGACGTTAACGTCTTGGAAGCGCTCGTTTCGACGACGCTACACCCTCCTACGTCTGTCCAAAGAATCAACAGTGAACCTTGACTCATCTGAAAACATCACATTGCTCCAGCGTCGATTATCCCAGTGTTGACGATCCCTACACCAACGACGTCTTGCCTGAATGTGATGATCTCTCAAACAAGGGATCACGCGAGGACGTCGGGCGCGAAGGTGACCCCTATGCAGTCGATTCCGAATCGTCTGGCCACTCACTCTCACACCAGTGTCTGTTTGAAGACGAGCGCTGATCTGATTTGCTGTGATGACACGATTTCTCAAGGCCAAGGTACGGATAAATCGATCCTGGGCTTGAGTTGTCGCCCTTGGTCGACCTGAGCGTGGTCTGTCCTGTACAGATTGTGTATAACGGTATCTGGACCATAGCCTGCTTATGACAGACTGAGAAACATTCATCATCCGCGCCACAACCGCCTGTGTTGTGCCGATCTGTAGCATGTCAAGGGCACGTAACCTTTCATTTTGGGTAAGCCGACGCATATCAAAATTTGTTTTCTGGTCACTAAAACAATTAGACTGATGTTTCCACCCTGGAATTCAATGCCACAATGACTGTAACATTCAAAGTCAGAGTCGTGCAAATCTTGGGTTGGACCCCCATGATGATCCCAAGCATCACCTGCATTCCATGCGGTAGCTATTGGTGCGTTTGGGCGTCACATGTAACTGGAAATGTTTCTTCTGTTAGGTTCTATAGTGACTTTTTTCGTAGTCATTTGCATATTTTAGTATTATGCCCCCAAAATCAAATATCCCCTACTTTTTTTGAATAGTATTATCCAATCAAATTACTAAAATTTGGATTTTATCTCAGTTAAAATTTCGTGAAACAGGCCCCAGACTTTTATGTAGGTTCAAGAGTTTTATTGAGAAACGTTCGTTCGGTCGCGGAGTTTTGCGTCCACGTGATATCGTAGACAAGTTAGCGTGAATCAAATTGCCAAGTATAAGTTCAATAATAATAAACATAACAGAATGAAACATTTCAGACAAAAAACAAAAAAGTAATAATAATAATAAAAGTCAAACATACAGATGTTATACATATTTGCAATAAGCGAAACATACTACAGATTTTGATAATACTATTAAATATAAATGAATTAGAAATAAATACATTATGTACATAAATCATTCAGTAAATAGACATGAATACGATTATCTACCCTTATAAAAACGAAGGCGAAACGACAGGTTTGTAAACTGTTTTTGATTGGTTCGTAGACCATGGCTACAATCAAGGCCAGGGCAGATAATTTGAAATCGAGGAAACCCTATGGATTAACCCAGGGTATAGTGGGGTAGAACGGAATGAGTACATTGGGGATACCGAGGATGATGGTCAAGGGTTGGACGCGAATAATGTCTGATCTCTCAGCGTTAGGGAGCGCTTGATGTATATGTTGATAAATTTGATGGCGGAGTGGGAAAGGGAAGTTTTTCCACTCTGTCCATTAAAACCATATTTCTATGTACGTTTTTTAGATGACGTTTTCAAAGTCTGGACGTACACACTAGACGAATTTTGGGCGTTTTTCAGCGTTCTGAACGATCATCACCCATCTGTCAAATTAACTGCAAATGTAAATCATAGCAGCATAGATTTTCTTGACACCACTGCTTTTAAAAGTAGAAACACCAATAACACTGGTCAATTGGAAACTAAAGTATTTTTCAAAGAAACCGATACACATCAATTACTGTTCAAAGGCTCCTTTCACCCAAAACATACGTTCTCTAGCATCATAAAATCTCAGATTCTCCTTTTCCATATAATATGTACTCAGAAGGCCGACTTTGGGTCGGCATGTACGCTGGTATTTAGCAAACTAAGAGAAAGGGGATACTCCAAACGCTATCTCCGAGGTATAAAAAACAATACTCCAGCTGAACTTGCCGCCAAAGAAACAAACAATATGCAATCAGCAGTTAAAACCAAAAATTGTGGCTATCCCAAATGTCAAACATGCAAAACCATAAACATATCCGACCAGTTCCATAACAAAACATCTGGCAAACAATTCCCAATATTAGACCAACTTTTCATGCAGCAGTTCAAACATAATTTATCTAATTTCATGTAGACATTGTGACAAACAATACGTAGGAGAGACCCAAAATGCACTTAGGGGAAGAATTCACGGTCCCCAGTCAGACATATAGTCACCAAAAAAGACAAACCGGTCTCAATTCACTTCAATCAACCAAATCATGATCTCATTGTCACGCCAATAGAAAAGACTAAGAGCGACTTTGAAAATCCAGAAGAAATTAAAACGTTTAACTAGAGAAAAATTCTGGATTGACAAGTTGAAAACAGCAGCCCCCTACGTTTGAATATTCATAAGGCTAGCGCTAAGCCCCTTTTGTAGTCCCATTTAGCGCAACAGCAGCAAGTACGTTCAAAATCATCAGAAAACTCTCTACTGATCTCCATGGAAATCACCCGAAAATCTTCACACAGAAACTTATTATTGTATATTTTAAAAATCAAAATCTGAACGACATCCTAGTGCACAGTAAATTAGATTAAATAAGACCAGTCCTCACCTTAACCCACAACAAACCATATTATATCAAACCCTAGCCCTCACCCTTAGTAAATAAAATCTACTAGATATAAGAATCTCTGGACCTAACCCGGTGATAGTGGAACAAAGACATTTTTAGAAAATCCAATTCTTAGTAGGAAACACTCTAATGTGGCTCTCACCCGAGAGCCTCAAATTTATTCTTTTTTCTTCAGAAAAAAAAATAATATCAGAATACCACAAGCACCATCCAAGGAAGACCATCAGCGTAACCAACACCAAAAAAATAGTGAAATCACTTTTGTATATAAATCTAATGTATTGTATGTTGGAAATATCACGAACTAAATTTTCATCATCCTATGTGCTTATGTGGAGACTTAACTCCCCAAATTCTTAAACCAACCTACAATCTCGTCAACAACATGAACAACCACGTACTCTCAACTTATTTACATCTCAGCGACCTTAACAAATAGATCTAGCCTTAATTAGCAGATTTTTATAGCTTGGGGTATTTCCTCGCGAATACAATGTTTTGAGAGGGATTTGAAGCAAAATATTGATAGATTAATTAGTTTGAATATGTTTTAGTCCAAATATATCGTCAAATTACTCAGTTTGTACGCGGGAAGGTATCTTTAAGATGTTACGTGCATTAATAAAAAAAATTAAGTTTGCCAGGTGAAATCCAGTGATTACGTTTCTGGTGTAAGGAAAGATTTGTAATATAAGAATCTTCAATGAAAAAAATGGAATTAAACAGTTAGAAGGTTTAATGGATCCATGTGATTTAAAGCGTCGACACATGGGTCCAAAATTTTCACAGTCTACAACAGAATACAATACAGAACAGGAAAATCTAAGTAATGGCAATCTAATTAACATAAAATTTACGACATAATGGATTCTTCGATGTTTTGATGGTGATCATGAAGAAAATAGGCCTACATCTGTTCTCAGGAATCCGATAAGATTTTCAAAAAAAAGATCAGTAGAATTATAGATTGTTATTCCACAAAGTCGAAAGGTATGTTAGATTTTTCATTCAGTCAAGTTAGAGCGAGTTTATTGCCGTACTTTGAGCTCCAAACCCGATAGAAATGAAGGCGGAAGTGGCCATAATAGTTTTAGAGATCACTACGTGATGGCGCTCTTGCGTCGCGACAAACGGGGCCGATTTGTCAAGGCATCCAAGCGTGGCTAAAAACAAACACATCAGTATATCTCAACGTTTTTAAGTGAGGCCATCGACACTTTATTTGATCTAAACTTAAAAAAGGGGTTCCATTAACAAGTTATGAAATGATAGCCCTACAACCTCATTTTTCTTCCCTATTTTCCCGCCAAAATGCGAAAAACACGACCGGGAATCGCTCATCCATGAAGCGACTAACTAATAATAGCGCAAAGGTTAACATTCCCGTCAAGATTGACAGGTGAAAAAAATCCCGTTGACCTGATTTTGTCACCATAGTAAATACTGTAGCTGTTAACCATGATTTCATAGGACGATGTCGGGGATATGAAAAGATAATGCTTCCTTCTTTCATATAACACGGTTAGCCATTTGTAAATTATCCTCATTTGACATCCTCGTGTCGGTAATAATTGAACAGTTTTATACAAGTTGAACAAATGTAGTTCTCTTAAAGTAAATAGAAGACAATTGTAGAGCTTCTAACAGATGAAAACACTTCAATGACAGAGGTTAGTGATGAATATTTTGTATGATCACATTATAAACACCTATGACATATAGGCCTACGATTTTAATTTATGTGTCAAGTCTACCATCTATAACTATTCTTTATTTTTATAAATAGTCGAAAGCATTGTAGCCATGTTCATGATATGAACTAATGTGTGTGAATTAATTGAAAAAAACCCAACACCTTTATAGTTGTATTTTCTTATAGACTTGACAAGAGTCTTGAGTCTTTCTGTCACCTTTAGTAACCTATGACCTTGTAATTGTGTCTTGTATAGGAAGTATTTAGAGTAATTGAATATAATATTACATTCATCGGAGAAGTAAAAGGAGGAAAATAGTGTTCAAAATGGTAACATGGGGACAATTAAATAAATCACTGTTCACTACTTTGAAGAGTGTGTGTGTTGGGGTGGGGGGGGGGGCATCAGAGTACATACCATTGAAAATCATAGTAAATGCATGTCCTATTATGGTTGTTAACTACTATCGGATTCATTTAAGTGTGCAATTATTACACTCCTCTTACTCCAAGTATCTACAATTTCACATAGATAAAAAGCTGGCAGTTCTCAAAAACTAGATAATGTACAGGGAATTTGCAGAAAATTTCAGTCAAATTGATCCTCTCTGAACCGAGAATTTAGCAATTGAATTTGTGGTCTAGCATCGATCATCATTACTAAAGTCGGTGCGATAAAATACATAGTCTCGATTATCCATTTCTTTATTTAATCATAAATTAGCATAGAGCAGCAGATCGGATCCTAATCCAGTAAATATCGCAGGCTAGCGATGCCATCGAGAGTTGATTATGGTCTGGATAAGTTAATTAATGTCTAATTAATGATTTAGATAACATTTCAGGTCTAAAGAAAGACCTGCAGTAGGGAGATTTAGCTCTTGCATAATGCATGTTTAATAGATAGTCTGAAGTTTCGACCCTTTCCTAGCCTGTGACATACAAAACAGCCCTTCAGCATGAATTTTATATTCATTAAATTTATTTATTGTTTAGCGAGGAGATAATTATCAACATTATAGAACGGTAGCATCTTTAAGAAATGTAGAGACAAGGAAATCAAGTATAAGTGAATTAAATTATTACTGGGAAGATATTACCAGGTAGGTACATGACCTCTACCCAATTTATACAAACAGATATTCATTTCATCAAACTTGCCATGTCTAAAATTTGAAACATTGAAATTAATCGTTTACAATACTCAAGTATAATACGAGTACAGTACTGTAAAAGGAAATTTCTTAAATATGTGAGCCATCATAAACAATCTATCAATCTTATAGATGAATAAAAGATGGAGTATGTAAGATTTGGATAAAATAAAGAGCTGTCAGTTCTTGAAAAATGAATGTATTTAAAATTTCATTCAAATTACTTAAGTTCTACCCATTTCATGCATGGCTTCTCTCTTCTCTTTTATTTGTTATTACATTTGTTATTGTTGTCATGCATGGTTTCTGATTTGTTATTATTACTTGTCTATATATAATTGCCCTACACATTTACTGGGGTCTTCCCATATCGCCGACTCATCAGAATTTGGAAAGTTGACCGTGGCACTCTTTGATGGGTTAAAAACGGATTAAAAGCGTTAATGAGGCAGGGACCAGTCATTATTAATATAGTGTTCACTTAAATTGATTTTTATCAGAATTCAACTCACTCACTAATTAATGAAATGAATATATTTCACTTAAATTACTTGAATTTTGTCAGAATTCAACTCATATTCGAAACTTAGATATGAACAAGGAAGAATGAATTTGTTAGAATTTTTGGACTATATTGGACACTTTATGTATATTGGAAACTTTATTGGACACTATATACGTGCAAAAAGTTAAAATTATGTGTCATGTTATGTGTTAAAGGTTGTTATAAATTTTTAAAAAATAAATGCTCCCAATAGTATCTGCTTAATTAGTTTTATCCTTCAGCTTGGGTCTATTGTTTTTGACCACTCAACCCCTTAACACCAACCAAAATTTTTCACCTAAAACTCGGCGAGTCGGCGATATGGGAATGAAGCACATTTATTACTGTACTTGCTTGAAAACGTTGAGAGAATACTCTTCGAAATGTGCCTAAATAAATTAGTAATAGTTTTTACATAAGTATGGGTTATAGTTTATTATGAATGATGCTTGAAACCATTATGTACAGATTTTAAAATGTTCATTATGTCGTAAATATCCCAAAATACATTGGAAAAATATTTTTCTTTAGAGTGGAAGCTAATGAAAAGTTATTGGATGCTGTTGACGGAAGTTTTCTTGTTCGTGATTCGTCAACTGAGGGAGAGTATACTCTTGTCTTGAGGTAAATTATTGTGATAATGTTATAGTTCATAATATTGCATACTAAATTTTTCTTGTACGTTTATTTCAAATCGCTTCTTATGGTCTTAAAATATGTATCCATGTGAATGAACATAAACAATAGTTAAAAGAAGTGCTTGTATTAGTTAATTATGTGTAGTGTAATGGTCGAGAGCGAGACATTAAGTAATATATTGAAACAACATGAGTGATGTTAGACGAATGTTGTTTCAATATATTACTAAATGTCTTAAGCTCAAGACCATTAAACAACTTAAAATACAGACACTCGCACATGCTTTGCAATGAAATATATCACACAGGTCCAAAATTTTAACTAGTATAAATAATGTACGTGTGGCATATTGCCCGTACCATTATTTGAAGTAATGATACGCCAACATGAAAGGATGAGGTCACATTTGTATTTTAAGTTTTCTTAAAGGTATTTCTGCATATAAACTCATGAATAATATTATCCTTTGAAATTTGAAACAGGATGTTTTGTCACCTATATTATTCATGCATGTATGGCTAATATATTGATACTTAAGTCTGGATAACTTTATAACACATAAAATGCCATTCTAAGATTATATCTGGATAACTTGGTCTAATATCCTTGAACGAGTTAATAAACCAGGTTATCCAGGCTTATGATGTTTTAGCATTTTAATTTCTTTGAATATGTTTTGTATTTATCAGGAAAAATGGAACAAACAAGTGTATTAAGATATTACATCAAGAAGGAAAATATGGTTTCGTGGAACCATGTACATTTAATAGTATATCAGATATTGTTGATTATTTTTCAAAGAATTCTTTAGAACAGTATAACCCAGCATTAGATATTAAACTTCTATATCCCATATGTAACAACAATGATGAGGTAAATATATATTCTAAAACCTACATTAATTTATTTCACCTTCCGATAGTACATTTTACATACATGGATTTCTTTCACATTTGCACAGAAGTAGAGTTGGCTTTCAATCTGATTAAAACACAGATCCTATTTCTTTTTGTTTTTTATAGTTCAAAATTTCGTTTTACTTGACTTTACTACACTAGGATCTGGAAGAGCTGTTATATTACTGGCGTTTTAGTTGAAGTGAGGGATAAGCCAATGAAACAGTCTGTTACGGTGACTTCTTGGCATGCCATGCACGGAACTGTGGGTAAACCACTAGAAACACCAATGCTGATTGATTAACCAATGTCTGATGTCATAGGGTCAAAAGCCACTTTTATGACCCCTGACACAACCTTAGGTTATTAAACAATAGACCTATCATCTTGATCTTGATGTTCATGCTTAGAAATGAGTTATCCCCCTTCAACACAGTGACTGATGATAAAAAATGGTGACGTAAATTCAGTAGAGAGTAATGTGAACTTTAAGTTAACCATTACATTAGGATTAATTGATTTGAATAATTTTTAGACCAACATGTTTAATATGTTTTTGACATTATTTATATATGAGGTATTGTTTATGTGTATATAAATAATATATTTATATTTACAGCTAGTAGTATCATTTGAAGATATAGAAAGAGCCATGCATTATTTAGTTGAAATCAACACATCACATCTTGACTTAGTTAAATCATTTAACAGAGATCATAGAAAATTTGACTATGTTTTAGGGGTGAGTAACTGAAGTAGTACACACTTATTCACATCTTTATTCTTTTAAGGAACTAAACCTAGACCTCTGTGATTTAGATCAAAATAAAGTATTGAATTAGCTTGATCTTAGTGTATCAACAGTGGCTCACAGAATCGATTGAATCTTGAAACTGGTGTTATCGATATGGGCAAAATATTTTCAATAAAGACAGATTGTCATACCACAAAACAAATTAACGTATAAAATTCAATTAAGATTTTATTTTTGAACCAAATCAAAGAGGTTTTGTCAATTTAATGGAAATAATTCAAGCAGTATATGTTTGCACGATTATATTTTTGTTTTAAATGATTAAGCTTAGATTGTGAAAACTGTAAAACACAAATGATTATATTTCAACATTGGCTTTGTTTATGAATATAAAATATTGAACAAGACAAATTATCATACCACAAAGCAATTCAAAAGATCCAGTGTAATTGGCACAATATCAAACAACCTGTCCACATGTTTCAAATTGATATGGACAGTATTTGATAATGTTATTTATATGACTCCAACATATGTTGTGCATAAGACAAGGAATGCTTAGTGTTTTTACAATACCTGTGCGAGAGTGACTGATGAAATATGTTCCGATTATGTTTTCTATTTAAATTGCATTTAGTTTGCTCATCCAATTATTGTTGGTGGAAAGTATGATATTTGGTCGATGATCTGTGGAGATTATGAGGTATGTAGAAAAATGATTGAGGTTTGTGTTGTATTCAAAGCTCTTGTGCTACATAATATTCAACTGTTTATATTTGTAAACACAGGAAATGAAAAGATCACATTTAACAATAGAAGCATTAGGTATGATGCGGAGAATGTTTCAAGAACAGCAGATATTAATAGAAAATAATCAAAATATGATTAAAGCAGAGGATGTTGAATGGTAAATATACATTTTTTTATTGATAAACATAGTCAGGAAGGTACTACATACAATTTGACATTTTCATTTAAATGCATGTTCAAGATAGTGTTTGTATTTTAAGTTGTTTAATGGTCTCAAGCAAGACATTAACGTCCTCGCGCAGTATCAATATATATTAATTAATGTCTCACTCCCAACCATTAAACCACACATATTGGTATATGTTAGGAGGATGAAGACAGGAGTTTACACAGAAATGGCATTAATTAATGGTAGTTATCAATTTCTAAATGCTCATATTTAATATCACCTCTCTATGTTGATCATTCTGTCTGTTTATCAAATATTCATTTAAACACGTACTGGGATTGGTTAGAATTGGTTATTGACCGAAATTCAAAGACACACATCAATTTAATGTAGAGTTATTTCCCCTGTAATTAAAAACCATGTAAGCCCTTAAAGTTATTGAGATTTGTTTTGTCAAACTTAATGGGATTGTTTGTTAAGTCAGAAGGAGGAATCCTATTGAAATTCAGAGTCGGGCATTTATTTTTCTGTGATTCAAACTGTAAATACTGGGTCACTTATGCAGAGTTATTTCCCCTGTTATCAAAAGCTTGTTAATGTATCGTAAAAAAAATCAAAGACTGTGCCGATTTAGATAGGTGGAAGAATTCAGTTACTGTGCAGGCATTGATACAGTTGGGGATAAAGGAAAATATAATAATATTCCCCAAGCAATGAACTTAACAAGACTGTATTTAACAAAAAGTAGCTTTAATCCAGGATATGTTTCAGTTGATTAGTGAAACATGTAATGGGTTAAAACCAAGAAACACCTGATGCATAAGTTGTTATCTCCTTCTCCACATCTGATATGTTTTTTTTATTCCTCAGTATATCGAACAACATTGGAAGATTAACAAGTCGTTTGAATGAAATAGAGCAGAACTTACAACAACAATATATAGTTATAAAAGACTATTCTAACCAGTATAATCAATTAACAGCTGATATATGTAATAAAAAACTAGAAATAAAGCGATCAAATCAACTCCGTAATAATATTAGACGGTAAGTTTTTATTTTTATAATCATGCCCATCTGGTCATATTGTGTCACCCATGTCTGGTGTCCACTATTGTTTGTGGATGTTGTAATAAGTTATCATCTAATTGACTTGAAGTTTATTTTCATGAGACGAAGAAACTTATTTATTTTCAACAGTTATGAAAATCTTGAAAACCACTTAAGCCTAAAGTTAGCATCTGCACTTGATATAGAGGCCCCCCCCCCCACCCATTAGACAAACCAAGCTCTCCCCCAAGACAAAGTAATCGCCTCTAAGCAGTGGGAACTTGCATGTCTTGGGGATATTGAACAAATGATGGATGGATCAAATGAAACGAGTTAAACAGATTTCCATAGCTTTATATAATACTCTAAATTTGAAATTGTTAGTACCAGATTCATTAACACTGAAATTCATTGTAAGAATCATTTTGTCTGTCATATAATACATATGAATAAACATTTCTGAAATCTGTGATGGACAAAAACAACAATTTTGTGTTAAATATAAAAAAAAAGACTGAGATGCCATCATAGCAGCTCATCTTAGCTTGACCATTCACATAGGGTTTATGCTCATAGGACGAATAAAGCCAATTGAATTTGATTTCCAAAGATTTCCAGTAAATGGAACAGGGATTGTTTATTAGGTCCTAACTAAGAACCCAACTGAATTGGAAACGTTTTGATATACTAAGACTGGTGATTACTTCCTCATATCTTGGGACCCAGGAATATAGTTTATCTTTTTAAAGAAATTCTCTCTTGAATTGACATTGAATGGTTTAAAAAAGGAATAGGCCAAGAAATATCATGGTGGCAGAATTACTCGTCTTAATCTTGATCTCATATTGCTGAGCTATCCCCCAATTACATTCATATTTATGAAATCCTGTGATGGTTATATGTATAAACTAGCAGGATACCTGGCTTCGCTCGGGGGTCATAACTCCGAAACCGGAAGTGGTAGACTAACGCCACCTGGCCTATGTTACTCCCCGGTCCGAGCTACCCCTATACCCCAAATTTCAGACTCGGGGCAGACCTAGTGTAGCCGTCAACCCCGAACAGACCGGCTTCGCTCAAGGGTCATAACTCCGAAACCGGAAGTGGTAGACTAACGCCACCTGGCCTATGTTACTCCCCGGTCCGAGCTACCCCTATACCCCAAATTTCAGACTCGGGGCAGATCTAGTGTAGCCGCCAACCCCGAACACACAGACAGACAGACAAACGACAGTCACAAATATATAGATAGATTAAAAGGGTGTTTACTGTAATGACGCTTATGTAATGACGCTACATAATGACGTAACGCCATTATCCATTATTGCCTTGAAAACCTAACAGTGAAACATGTAGGCAGTTAAATAAAATTTCTTTAATGGTATTTTCTACTTAAGTTTTTAGAATATATATATATCTATATAGGAAAATGAGGTTTTTAGAAAGGAAAAACTAATTTCATCTTAGCTAGCGCTTTCACCCACTACGGGGAACATCAGGCATTTAATAATGAAATAGTATACAATTGCATGATGTCATGGCGTTATTAATACATGTACATGACAATAATAATACCAAATATAAATATTTTACAATATCAAATTCCAATATAAAATTATGCAGCATTTAATTTAGGGTGATACTTGTTAATAAAATGCCATTCTTTATTTTCTAGCAAATTATTATCCAACCAGTTGAGTTTATATAAGGGGAATACCCTAAAGTTTCCCTTTCCACATGTATCCAAGTGTTCACTTAATGGAATCATTCTATTTTTGGGATTAGCAATGTGGGATCTGTGTAGGTTCATCCTTATGTTCAGTTGTGATTCGGTTTTGCCTATATACTCTTCATTACAACCTGGACATATTATCAAATATATAACATTTTTACTTTTACATGTCATAGATTGTTTAACTTTAAAATGTACATTTCCATTAATTTTTACTGTTTTCCCTTCAATAATGTTGTCACAAGTTTTACATCTATTGTCCCCACACTTTGTGACACTCGTTTCTGTGACTTCAGAATCAAATTTTGACGAAGTAAGTATTCGTGGTAAATTTGGGGGTTATATACTTATATATATATTTAGACATGTAGTTAATTTGGGTATACCAGATAATTCTATTTATGTTAATATTTTATATAGACGTGTAATTAATTTGGGTATATCAGATAATTATATTTACGGTAATATATATATTTATAGACGTGTAATTAATCTGGGTATATCAGATAATTATGTTGATGGATTATTAGAAGAAGAGAAGGATGAAGATATCCCTCATTATGATACACGGTTATGGCTATTACAGAAAGACAGAACAGAAGCTAATATTTTACTGGAAAATAAACCACATGGTAGTTTTTTAGTTCGACCTAAAGACACAAATACTCCATATATTCTGTCTGTCAAGTAAGTTGTTTATTATATATTTCCTCTATGTTTTACAATGTTATTGCCAGTATCAAAGAAACTCTGCAAACACATTACAGCTCAAAAGTTTTTCAGATTTATTTTTGTGTGGTTACACTGAAGATCTTCAGATTTTCTTTTGTTCAACTGACACATGCCTCAATTTTGAATTGAATGGTATAACAATGGGGTTATGAACTTTTATAAATGGAGGATAATAATCCTGATTAATCAAATGAAATATCAAGGTACCGGTTATCGATACACTGGTCACTGTTTTGATGATAAAATGCCATAAACTTTAAATTCACTGTATTCAACAATTTCGTAAGGCTCTAACCAGTAACCCATCCAGTGGAACTTTATAGGGATGTACTGTAGTGAACTAAGTGAAGTCTATTGTAAATGATTTAATTATTATCTTTTATTTCAGATGTGTTGATAAAGTAGAACATTGTATAATATATTTTAATAAAAACAAGAAGACCTATGGCTTTACGAAGGAATTCTGTTTTTTCAAAACATTGACTGATTTGGTTATTAAATATCGCCGTATTTCACTGGTTACACACAATGAAAATGTGGATGTTAATTTAATCTACCCAGCTCTATCTGTACATTGAAAACAAGAAGCAAGATCTATCTGTCTGTCAGTCTCATATTTTATTACCTACATCTAAATATGTAGGATAATGTTCAACTGTAGTCTTGAAATTTTCACTTTAGATACCCCAGATATTACTTCCATTGTCATATACTGTATTTCATATTCTTCTAACACTTAGTCAAAAATTTCCCCAAAAATCTGAAACTGTTCAGTGATTTTAAACATTTTAGTCAGTGCTGAATTTACTTATAGGCTTGGCTGACTGAAGCCTAGGGCCTCAAGATCTAGGGACTATCTGTCAAGGTGTATTATATTTTTGACACTGTCATAAGCCTTTCTTTCCTGTACAGTTGTCTTAAACATCCATCATCATCCTTGGCTTTGCACAATTGTGTTTAAAACCAGCCTCTGCATCTTCAGTGGTCTCATTCCGTTCTACTCCAGATAATTTGAATACATGTCTCCCCCATAGATGAACCCAGATGTTAGTGGAGTGGAACAGAATGAGTCCACTGGGTTTAAAACACACCTTCATTTTTCTCTCTAGCAGTGAGAGTAGGTGATTTGGATGTGCCTCATTAAAGGAATAGTTTAGGGTCTTGATCTAAATCCGGCACTGATTTTAGTACAAAGTAATAATTATTGTTTTTATCATGATAGTAAATGAATTACAATTTTAAAGGAGATCAATGATGTATTATTTGTAGTGTATATACATGTATTTTTAATTATTTGTAATTATTTTTGTATCAAAGATAAATACATGCATGGAGATGTTAATTTTTGTGATAATATACACTTAGACTCTGTAACTTGTAGTCAGGACACATAATGTCATACCATTGTACCTATATCATTCCATTCCTTGATCTTGACACTCATATTGGCTGTAGCTTATAAGTAGAGATTCTATTTATAATTAGTTTAAACCGCTCATATTATGCACAGAAAATATTCCTTCCAAATTTGATAATTTTCCGGTTTGATGAACATCAGATGTTACTTTCATTCCATTTATTCAGACTGTGATCACTTCATTAATGTATAATTAGTGATAATCAAAGTATTTTAAAGTACTGCACTTTTAAAAAATTAAAAAATATACATTATATAGGTATCAGGAAAGTCATGGTCAAAATGTTGAGACACTTCTGATACTTGACTTAAGTAGAACACAAAGTATCTGTTAAAGATTTAAAAAGCCACCAAGGTATACAAGGAATGCCATATTAACTTCTTATAGTTATAGATGAAGGTGTAGAAAGTTGTAAAGATAGTGGTGTTACCCCTTTTTAAGGAAACCCCACAACAATTATGATCCAATCTGAAATCTTTCATCTACCCAATATATTCTATTTTTTCTTATCCTGTCCCTTCAGCACTGTGTTTTAGCATTCAGCATTCTTACCTCCTTCAGTTCAACTGTGTTTAGTGTTTATAAAGATTCATGACTAGAGTGGATAGATGTTATTAATCAAAAGAAATATTTTTGAAATATTATGATGTTACTTTGTGTTTTTTTTTTATTTTATTTAAATCAATCAAAACTTTTTAATGCTTAATTTTATCAAAATGTTTTTCAATAAAAGGTGAAAATTACACTCAGATAATTAATAAGAATTGTTGTTCTTTAATTCTTTACTCTTTTTAGAGTAAATAGAATTGGTTTCTGTGTAGGCATTTGAATATTTGGGCTAGGTTGCATGGTTTCCTTGTACAAAACTACTAGCATACAAAATGGTTGATCAGCATATGAATTCTGTATGGTTATCTGAACACCCAGAGATGATTCAGTTATAACCAACTTTATCAGTCCTAAATTCAACTACAGTTTGTTGGCTCTTCTGAAATTGTGTTAGAGAGAAATGCAATTTAACTCCACTCAACACACAGTGGGTCATTATTTCTAGACTAACATGCACAAAGGGGTTTTAGTAGTACAGGGGAGGGAGATTAGTCGTCAGTACACCAATGAAATCAGTCAGGAAAAATTGCAATTAAATTTGGTAATGGTTGAACTGTGATTTGAAAGTAGTCAAAGAGAGAGAGATGGGGTTTAACTCCACTCGACACAAACTAGGTCATTTCGGGACTAACATATGGTTTAATTTCATTTACATAATTCGCTTGCGCGTAGTGGTCTCTAGCAGTGGGAGGAAACCGGAGGCCCCGGAGAAAACCCACGAGGTTGGACAGGCGACCCTACTCCTTGCCACGTACAACCGGGGATTCGAAACCACGCCAGTCGACTCAATGACAGACTTTATGATACAGCGTGCGCACGCTAACCATTCAGCCATCCAACCCCCCGAAAGTAGTCAAAGTTTTAGTCTTGATATTCAGAGCTAATCATTAGGAGCTACTACACTGAAATTTCTGGGTGACAAAAGTGTTCTGGTTTTAAGATGCCAATTAGTATGGTGTTCAGATAACAGGTACAGAACTGGAAGCCAAAAGATTTTAGGATATGTGTTATAGTAGCTGATATTTGTAGTTCATGATCTGGCTGCTGTATTTTATAGCTTGTAGAGATGGTTTGTTTAAACCCAGAGAGCAAACTGTCATAATAGTCTATGCTGAAGAGAACTAGTGACCGTTCAGAAATTTGGAGACACCTTATCTGAAATGAAAATACTGGTACTGTGAAAAAAATGAGTAGGGTATTGTAAAAAATATTTTTAACACTCCACATTTTATATAACTTCTTTATTCTAAAGCCTTAAAATATATTGCTTCTGAATTTATCTGACAAGAATTTCCATTCCCTATGTACAGAAGTGTTGTTTTTAATGTCTTCATTACAAAATTTATTACAAAATAGTAATTTTTAAACTCTACCAAAGTTACTTAGGAATTCAACAAATAAAACTAGTTTCTATTTCATAACTTTAAAAAAAGTCTGCTGGATGGCCCCTCTGATAACATTTCATAACAATTTTATAATAAAAATAGATATGGCCAAATTTCAATATAAACAGGATTTTATCTCAACCCATTTTTTATTGGTTTAAAATAGAACACAATCAGGCCAAAATACAAAAATACCTGTATTTAAGGTTACCCAACCGACCATATTTTTTAGAGCCTAAATCGCTTACCCTAAACTTTTTATTTTCCTCATTTCTCAGAAATGCTAGGCAATAGATAAAACAAACCCCACGAAAAAAAAAAAAATTTTTTTTCCCATCAACTGACTCAAATTTGGGTCCTCTGGGTCTAAGTAACCTTAAGACTAAACACAGGTATTTTTTCTTGGCCTCATAAATATTTAAATCATTAAAATATTTCATTCTAATAGAAATTTTATTCCTTACATACCAGTTAATTTTGTAATTCAAATTTACAAAAAGATTTAACAATTCATAGACTGTTTTGATAAAAGGTAACAAACAGACATCTTGTGTTTTAATAAAATGTACCATTTTGTGTTGTTTTTACATCAATGGCTGTATGGAATGTCATTTAATTTGCATAATGTGAAACATTAAAAAATGATTATGAAAAATGAACAATAATGAAGGCACTTCTGATATTGTTTATAAATAACATACATATATGATGATATTAACACCATTATCAATTATTTTTTGGACAATGGTATTGTAATAAGTATATGAAAACTCATGCTAAATGCAAATTTTTTCTTATTATTTTAATGTGTGTAAATAATATATATTACTACAGTATAGTCTCGATATTATAACACATCAAATATTTTAACTACTGGTCCCATTTTCTTTTATCAAATCACAGATTAGGATTAAATTGAGCTTTTAACATTGATTTCAAGGGAACATAAGGTGAGAAAATATAATTGCAAGAAAAGTTAAGAATGCCTACATATAGTTATTTATGCTTTTACAATAACTTCTAGTTAATATATTCAATTTGTAAAATGTATTTTACATATATCGATCAGCATACCAATTGAAATTTGTGAACACTCAAGTGTTTTGCAAAATGCAGAGACGTGGTTACTGAGACTGAGAGAGCTAATTTCCCAATATATTGAACAGAATAAAGAGACAAACATGTAGGAACTTTAAAAGAAATTAAATTGAATCTTTGATATTATAAGCTACCATAATAACACACAATATTATAGTTTAATTTGCACATAAATTGACAAACTCAGTCACAAAATGCAAGCAAACTAATTATGAATTTTATTTACAATTACTACACACTACCATTTATTCTTATATAAATATTGTAGAGTAGTAATACTGTATAATTGGCATACAATACTATTAAATAGCCACATAAAAAAAATCCTCTTGAGTTTTTATTTTGTTTTAAAATCATTGCAATTTACATAAAAAAATTCCAAAGTTGTTGATATAAAGATTGAAAATGTGGTTATAAACATTTGAAAGATCAAGGGACAGGTATATAAGTGACATATTCCATGTAACAATGCCTTAATGAGAAAAGTAACTATTTCATTTCAGAATTAAGTAATAAAATTTTCAAAAACAATTCAGTTCGTTCAACTGAGAAGCTAGAAGCATATACTCAGAGATAACATAATCATATGCCCTTGTACCATATAATGGACAGATTTTTTTTTAGACACAATTAGAAACTTGGCTAATTGTAGATAAGAATGAGGACTGGAAGACAATAAAACATTGAAAGACGATAAAAGAAAGGTAACAAATAAATTTGCTTCCATATAAAAGTTTTAGACAATCAATAATAACCATATAGAAATAAAATGAAGGTTTTAAAAGTGAAGTATTATAAGTAACCTCATCCAAAGATGGTAAGGTGTTATATGTTGACATGTGATAAATGTACAAAAAATGTTGCAGATAAATTAATCAATCATGATTTTCCTTTATCATATACCGATTTTATATTTATTAATATATTAAAATACAATAATAATAATAATAATAATAATGATCTTTCATTCAATAGTTATTTAGATAAAACACAAACAGAAATATACGAGAGACATACAAACATCAGGTAGCATTAAAAACATTGAACAAACCAAACTTTATACACAACTAATAACACAGTGATATATAGAAATTATTTACATCTCTTCATCTAGGCTACGTTGGCTGTTGATAGAGATCACATGATCACATTTTGTGCTTTAAGTGATCATATTATGAGCCAATCAAGTTTACAGTTTTGTGTGGAGATCAACATAAAGTGAGTTCTGGACGACTAGGTTTTTTTTACAAGGCACATATATATTATTCTAACTCCAATAACTGTCAGTGATAACCAGTGAAAGGCATTTATGTTTCAGTTTTTGTCAACAGAATAACTAAAAATTAAATAATATGCCTGTACTTCTTTACTAAGTATTTCACCAAGGTTCTATTATTTATTGTCTATTATTCATAGAATTTATACATGTAATCTCTTTAGTTCAGATTATAGATTATTATATTCCTAGATATATTGGTTCAATTGGTGAGCACACTGAAATGTTTAAATGCCCAAATTATTATTCACATTACCAGGAATGAACCAAAATTTCCTTCCCTCAAATTAATTAACAGACTTGATGGTCTAAATGATTTTCTAATCATATTTTAATTGCTTGGATACGAAAACAAAAATGGAAAGGATATTGTATAGATGATTGTATAAAATATCACCTGGTTATATTATTCGATGGTAAATATATTCAATATGGTGGACATCAATTATTTCTTTAATAAATAAACTCATTTTAATATATTCTTAAAGTCATCCATTTGTGATTTATAATATCACATTTCACTGATAATAACATGTCACTTTTTAACTCTCTTATCATTTTCATTCTGTTAAGTACACAACATTTGCAATTTAAAAATGTCCGCACATCTGTATTGTCAGCCATTTTATCACTTTCAGCTTGACTTGTAACAGCTATAACATCAAGAATGAATATGGTTCGATATATCAATGGTGAATCCAAAATGCTTATATATCAGCTCCTTCAATGTCCACTAAATTTTTCAACATAGTTTTAGCAAAGGACATGCGATTAAATATGTCTTCTCGACAGCCATCTTGGATAACTTGAACAATGTTAAATGTTTTGGCACATCTTTCAGAATCTATGTAGGTTACCAGGTAATCGTTTTTATGGTAGCTGAGAATTATTTTGGTGTGGTCATCAAAAAAATTCACCTAAAAAAAAAGAGAAAAATATTTGTTGACATTTTAGCTTGAATATTTTTGATGAAAGTTACCCAAAACTGTACTCAGAAATAGTTGAACAAGCCAACAGTGAGGCTGATGTCCCCCGCCGAAATAGGAAAATAATTAGAGGACACATATAAATTTATCACAAATTATCTTTTACAAAGTATTGAACAATCAAACAGTATATCTTTACTTATAGTCTAACAATCAAAGTAGGAGAGTTATTGTTTTCCAAAGTCTCGACCAATCAAATTGCGTATCGCTCTGCTTACCCTGAGCAGAAAATGCTCATTATCAAACTTAGTCAAGGTATTACTGTAATGAAACTATACACCAAGTTTCATCAATCTCATATAATTAGAACTAAAGTTATCGTGTCCCAAAGCATCAACCAATCAAATTGCTTATCTCTGCTTACCCTAAGCGGAAAATGCTCATCTTCGAACTCCATCAAGGCATTGACCTAATCAACACATACACCAAGTTTGAACATTCTAGCTCAATTAGGAAGAGAGTTATCGTGCCCCAAAGTATCAACCAATCAAATTGCTTATCTCTGCTTACCCTAAGCGGAAAATGCTCATCTTCGAACTCCATCAAGGCATTGACCTAATAAACACATACACCAAGTTTGAACGTTCTAGCTCAATTAAAAGTTATCGTGTCCCAAAGCATCAACCAATCAAATTGCTTATCTCTGCTTACCCTAAGCGGAAAATGCTCATCTTCGAACTCCATCAAGGCATTGACCTAATCAACACATACACCAAGTTTGAACATTCTAGCCCAATTAGGAAGAGAGTTATCGTGTCCCAAAGCATCAACCAATCAAATTGCTTATCTCTGCTTACCCTAAGCGGAAAATGCTCATCTTCGAACTCCATCAAGGCATTGACCTAATAAACACATACACCAAGTTTGAACATTCTAGCTCAATTAGGAAGAGAGTTATTGTGTCCCAAAAAGTGTGACGGACAGACAGACGGACGGACGGACAGACGGACGGACGGACGGACGGACGGACGGACGGACGGACGGACGGACAGACAGACAGACAGACAGACAGACAGACAGACAGACAGACAGACAGACAGACAGACAGACAGACAGACAGACAGACAGACAGACAGACAGACAGACAGACAGACAGACAGACAGACAGACAGACAGACAGACAGACAGACAGACAGACAGACAGACGGACGAACCCATTTTAATAGTCCCCTGCTTTCTTCGAAAGGCGGGGGACAATAATACGCTAATAATTTTTTAGTGCCTTACAATTAACCATCAGTTAATATTCAGCCATAGCAATAGAAAATAAATTACAACAAATGACAAATCGACATAGTGGCACTTAATTGACAATAGCTTTCATAACAGTTATATTGCCTGTTTCATACTGGTAACAATGAAAAGACTGCAAGCTTTCAAAGATTTAATACAATATAAAAAACATTATTCTAGTTTTTTCTCGAGTCAAAAATGTATTTCTAATACAATGTACCTGAAGGGTTCCATCGCTCAAATATAGCACTATAGCTTTTGTTGTACGGAACCATTTCTTTAAATATAAACTGCCTGACCAGGGTTCATTTATAAAATGATAACCTAAATCACCTCCCTGTAATTATAAAACATACACTATATATTAATATGATATAGTACCGGGTGACACAAAAAAAGCGTTCATCAACTAAACTTGAATAACGAAGAGGGGTCGTCAGGGACCTCCAGTGGTTCCAGCAGGATGGTGCCACCCCCACACCTCAAACGAATCATTGGCATGGCTACAGCAGCGTTTCCCTGACCGACTGATCAGCCGCAGGTGTGACCCGGAGTGGTCGCCGCATTCACCGGACTTGAATGCCCCAGATTTTTATCTGTGGGGATACCTTAAGGACAGGGTGTATGGCAACAACCCCCAGACTATCCCTGATCTGAAGGCAGCAATCACAGCAGCAATAAAAGCGATCCCAAGGGAAGAATGTGGGAGGGTCATCTAGAACTTTGCCCGCCGGATCAAAATGTGCTTGCAGCACCGGGGAGCCCATTTAGAGCACATTTTTTGAGCGCCAGTTAAACAAAGAGTTTTTGTGGTACAGACTTGAAACTTTGTAGATGTCTGCTACATAGACTTAACCTAATGTAGCTGAATTTTTGTGTTAATCTAAATGAAATTTTGGAAGTTATTCGATTTTTATTGATGAACGTTTTTTTTGTGTCACCCTGTATAATAATACATTTATAAAAAAAGGGGTTTAACTCCTTCTGTCATTTTAAGATAAATATGTTTATTGTTCATCCTATTCTATGGTTTAATGTATGATGAGTGGGGGCCATTGTTGTCCCCATAGCTGCACTTCTATATACTTCTTTGATTTCCTACTGTCAACTAGGCATACTTTGTCTACCCTGACAAGTGAAGACTAGACAAGGTGACCTTCGGTGATGGTGATTTCAATATTTGTGTTATGCAAAAAGTAACATCAAATTACAAGGAATTCTGTCCATGTGGGCAGCCAACAGAAGATTGCCTGGATCATCAGCATTCAGATTCTAGTTCCGACCCCTAGTCATGAGAAAATTCTAATCGAAGGTTGCCCAAGTAGATTAAATTGATTGACAAAACTTAACAGAAAACAACATTGGTTTAGTTCGCTGATTAAAATATGATATAACCAACCTGAATAAGATGTTCATCCATATATCTAGCAAAATATTGTAATAATGTGGTTTTACGGTTTAAATCTTCAGGTATATAATCTTGTTTGTAAGCTGATAATTTTCCAGTTAAATCATAATACTGCATAGATCTTTAAAAAAATTAAATACTAGGGTCATTTATGCTTATCAAGTAAGTCAAATTACTATTGAATGGCCTAACTACTACTATTAGCCATTTGGAAAGATATTGTTACTCTTTGATTTAATACCATTTCTGATTTCTTTGAGAAAAGCATACAAATAATAATTTCTTGTGTAAAAGTTTTTCTTTTCATTGCCAAGGAAATGAATTTTGTTTAAAATTATGAAAGTAATATGATTATAATTACCTTCCGTCTGGTGATAAGAGTATTCGTGATGTGTCATTAAATAAAACACCCATAGATCCACTGGATAACTGGAAACCAAAACCGTATTTATTGGAATAATCCACCCACTTGGTCACCCATACTAAACTACTATCTGATATAGCATGGGGATTCTGAGCTACATCTGTAGAAAAAAAAAGTAACTTTTAGTTCATGGTCAAACTCTTCATAAAAAAAAAACATAATAATAATGTGTATATTTATAATGTTCTTTATCCATATGGGTTGGACTCAAAGCATGATACAATTAATTACTATCCTGATCCCTAGGTAAAGCCTGATTACTTCCCTTTACTCCTAGACTCTTTGCACAGGCTACACCATCCTATCGATACCCATTTATACTAGACTAAATACCGGGATGAAGTATCTTATTTAATATAAGCACACAAGAACTCGACACACAATTCAGCTCTATTTATAATGCAACCGTTTGGTGACAAATCTGATAAATAAAAGAAACAACAGATATTAAGATATTCTTTTTAAATAAAATACCTTTTGGCATGTGTTCTAGACATGTTGTTAAAACATCTAACATCATGGCTGCTGATCGAGGTTTAGGTGAAGATTCTGAAAATAAAAAATTATTTTAAAATATAATATATATACATGTATAAGTTTAAAACCCCACAAGGCCAGCGAAGAAAGTGTTACATTTTTGTGTTCTTTAAAGTCAGGTTCTGGATGACAATACTAGTTTAACTTCATATGATACTTTTATTAAGTTTTATTATTCTTCAAACATATCATGTACAAAACTTAAGACTCCGTAATTAGCTTGTGTCGAGGGAGCCATGGTCCTGGCTTGACTTGAAACCCTTGGGTGCCAACTCTCAACTAACTTACATGGCCTCTGTCCAGTCTTATAACTCAGACGCTCTCGCCTTCTCAATAATCTCCTTTGAATTCCTGCTTATAACCCCACTTTTAGACAAAGGATGATCGAAGAGATTATGCAGCTGGCTATATTGCATCATAACTTAGGCCAGGGGTAGTAACTTATGACTTCTATGTGGCCGTTAGGCGTTAGCCGTGTCAGACCAGTACCAGTGTCGACCATCTATGGGTCATAATCTGGTAAGGATGTTTTAATCAATTTGATATGTATGGAAGGTGTTAAGTGAATAATGTTAATTCTGTAACAAAAGGCATACGCTATGCAGTGTGCAATGAACAAAATTTAGTCTGTCTACTCTTCTTCGAATTCTTTTATGTGCATGCCAACATGTACAAGGGACGTCAAAAGTCCCATTATACCAAACAAATATACACAATCAAAAGTTCTTTTAATTAAAATATATTTTGGTCCAAAAATGTTCCAAATTTATCAGCCAATTAAAATTTTCTTTATGTTTTACTGATTTTATACTATAAGTTAACGATTTGACATGTTGTGGTTAACATCTGATCATTCTAATTAATGAAAACATCTGGAAGAAAGTTTACCTCTTTGAGGTGGAGAATCTGATCTATCCATTGGAATGACATCAGAAATGGTATCCTTAACAGCAGATTTAATGGCGGGACTGAGATCACCAGTATTATCACGTGATGGATGTAGGGGTGGACGTTTATCTACAACCTAAAAATAAAATATATGTTATTTATAAAGAATAATCAGTAATTATTATTTTAATACAATTTAGTTTTATGAATTCCATGAAAACATAAAATATAAATTATGACTGTATGGCCCTCCCAGATATTAAAACACTATTCTTTTTTAATTGGATTACAGAAGTATCACATTAAAAACACCCCAATGAAATTGCAAATTTGTGCGTGGAAATACAAGATTGAAATTAACTGTTATCCCCCTTCTATATCCATTCAACAATCTATTTTCACATACCTCTAATTCTTTATCTAATTGTATCTGATTTAAAGCATTACTTAATTTACCCATAGCATCAGTTTTACAATCTGCATAGGATAATGGCCTGCAATAAAACAAACTCAGCATTAGTAAAATGGTTGCCGACACAATTAAAGCTTATTGCAATAACATCACATTACATTTGAAGAATATCGCATACCACATGAAATGAAGTAAACTACTATTTCTACTTTTATAGGTACCCTTGACATTTAAAATCTAATGTTTGAACCATAATAATATGATAATGACTTGTCCTTTTTTATTCTAATATTAATCCTTTTTTATTCTAACATTAATATTATCAGACTAATCTGCAATAATATTCATAGACATCAGCTTGGTGTGAATATAATTAAAATGAGATAAATAATATGGTCATCTTTATATTTACATAGACATATGATCTGAAGACGTCTGCTTAGAATACTTGCTATCCCAGCAGGAGTAATTATAGACCAGCTCATCAATTTACAAATTATTTGGATAAAAATCATTTCAATTTAACAGATGTCAAATGCTGACCTCTACACTGCAGGTCAAGTTAGAGGGAGGTCTTATTTTGTAGATGTGTTGGGTCTGTGTAAACAATAGGTAAAAACATGGGGGTAGTTATAGTTACAATACAGCTATAGGACCTCCATCTTATTTTGGTCTCAACAAAGGAATAAAGACATTTTCTTGAATAAATATTCATGATGTGCTTTTTTTTCAGACTGTTAATAAACATATAGTTCAGGTGACACCAATTTTTCTCGTTTACGGTCATTCGTGCCTAGTCAGCAAAGTTTGGTATTATTAGTGGATTTCTATGGCTGGGTCAACTTGGGTCAGGCTTTTAACTCAATAGTATTGACATAAAGATTAAACTAATTGCTGCATAATTATGCTAATTCTTGTCTGAAACTTATTTGAAGTTAAGAGCCTTGTGTTATTTTCACAACATCTAATTGCCTATCTTATTTACACACAACAAATGTAATTATCTCTACAAATATTTAAAGAGAGCATATTGACTGATCTTCAGTAAAAATAGAGCAAGCGGTCTTGATTTGGTTGCAATGTAAACAATGTGTGTATATAAGTAACATATAGTACTATATAGACAAGTCTGATTCAAATCCACTAACATCAATAGTTCCATGTAAATACATTCACTTTCACAAAGAAGCTTTTATAAAATTTCAACTCACACTGAACAAAATTTCACTATACAGAGAAGTATTTTATGGTACATTTAATTGATACTTGCGAGACTCCTTTCATAAAATTCTTGAAATAATTTAGGCAAAAATATAATCGAGGGTAGGGTGGGATGGGAAGGAGACATCTGTGACATTGTCATACATTATATTCAATCTTTCAAAACACCAGAACCATTTATTATGAGAAATACATGTATCATAGCAAGAAAACAGAATTTTCATTTTCTTCTGGATTTGCAACTTTATATATTTTTTATATTTACCTGTTAAACTTAGTATAAACTGGAAACTTTGGCACAGAAAAACAACAGGCAGGGGACAACACTTTTGGCAAATAAGCACAGGTAAAAAAATCATCTTGGATGATCTCATCTAAGCTCGGCCTCTGTTCAGGAATTGGTGACAAACATTTTCGAATGAGATTTTTGGCCAGAGTTGAAAGACTGTTGGGTAATGTATAGGTATTTTCAGTTATGCGAAGATAGGTCTCTTTTAATGTTGTTGTTTCAAATGGTGGTCTACCCACTAATAAAGCATACCTATATAAAAAAGATAAAACAAACTACACATTTTTTTCTAAAGAATGTTAGCTTGTAATCTGATCATAATAAATCATTGTGAGTGAAGGCACTTAACTAATAGCTGATAACTTTTTTTTATATTAAAAATCTCATCCTTGAAAAATAAATACATTCCATTATCAAAATTTACATTTAATCAAAGACAATCTCCAAATTCTTCACATAATGCTCAAATTTCAACAAAAAAAAATGTACGTATTTCTTACATTATGCAACCTATTGCCCATATATCTGCCGAAAAACTATGTCCTTTCTTGAGGAGGACTTCAGGAGCTATGTAATTAGGTGTACCACAAACAGTCCTGAAATAATTAACACATTTATCAAAACATTTACATTAAGGAAACTAATTTAAATTTAAACTGTAAGTTGAAGTGAGTAAGTGCAAGAATAGGTTAAAAGTTTCTAATATCAGAAATATATAGCCAAGAAGTCAACCAGTATACAATATCTCCTCTTTACTGACCAAGAACAAAGATGTTTATTCAACTATCCGTAATCTTAAAAGCAAAATGTTCCACACTAAACAGTAAATCCATACTGGTTAGATATGGCAATGTAAAGTTCACATTACTTTTTTACTGAATTCATGCTCCTATTTTTTATTTCTTGTATTTATTCATGAATGATTACTCATTTATTTTCAAGAACATCTAGGCAAAGTTAATATCTTTTAAAATCAATATCTCAAAGCACTATGAAACACACACGGAAAACAGAATCCAGAAAGTTTAATTGAGAGAGAGAGGGTTTAATATCCACTTGACACAAACTAGATCATTTCAGGACTAACCCATGGTTCAATTTTATTTCACTAATTCGCTTTGGGGAGAAACCGGAGGACCCGGAGAAAACCCACGAGGTTGGACAGGTGACCCTACTCCTTGTCACATACAACCAGGGAATCGAAACCCTGCCAGTTGAGTCAATGACAGACCTTATGATACAGTTTGCACGTGCTAACCATTCGGTCATCCAACCCCCAAGTTTAATCAAAACAATGTTGGTAAGACAGACAGACAGAGACATACAATTTCTCGGAAATACATAAATTAAGCATTGTAATTAACCTCTTTCATAAATAAACAAACATTGTCAGGATACAGGGCATTTTATAATGAAAATGCTGACATGATGACAGTTTGAAAGGTAAGAAAAACATGAAACTGATAGAAGTTGATAGGTAAATGTTGTAATTGTATCCATATAAAGGATCATAAAATATAAGATATCAGTAAATAGAATCAGATTTAATATAATAGAAAAAAAACAGGAGAGATAGTATTTATCAGGTGGTTATTTCCTATAAAAGTAGGCTATGACAAATTTGGTATATATGGGAAGTATAGACGCCCAATCTTACTAGAAAAATACTGGATTACCCGAAAAACACCGATGGGGCAAGCACTAGGCAAAAATGTCAGGATATCACTAAATAGCAAGTCGATGGCTTATTGTCTGCTATCTTGACAGATGGTTGTTATTTCTTGATGGAATAGTTAGGCAGTTTTGGGAACATTGAGGGGTGTAAGCATATAACAGACTCTCCAATTAAACAGCGGAAAAAGAAATTGGCAGAAAATAATTCAAGAATTTACTTAGGCCTGAATATGTATGATAAATGAACATTAAATAATGACAAAAACATTCTGAAAAATGGGTCGCCCCTCAATCAAGTGAAGTGACAAACATGGCTTCTTAAAACAGATTTTTTTTTTTATAGCTTTAGGTACCTCCTTGCAAATACAAAGTTTTGAGAGGGATTTGAAGCAAATTTTTGATAGATAATTAGTTTGAATATGTTTATAATCCAAATATATCATCAAATAACACAGTTTGTATAGTATAGGGAAGGTATCTTTAATAGTTGAAGATAAGTAGAACTGTTTCAAATTGACTCTTAAGTGATGATAGATAGAGTGTTGATATGTAATTAAACTTTTATCAAAATAATTCATCTTTTTATTTATACATAGTTTTAATATGTTTACTTTATCAAAACATGTGAACTGAACAGAATTCCAACACAGTGATTCCTGCATATCTAGGTCATCCCTAAAACTTTTTCCATATATAATTCTTAATGAGACATGAATGTGTTTTTCAGTTCATCTTTTTCAACCACATCAACATTTCATATACTACTTATATAAACATGTAGTTATAAAATTGTATTAATAATTATTCACAACTTGTGGTATTTGTATTAACCCTTTAAAGAAGACTAAAAAAAACTTGATTACCAAGCTGATTCAAATTTTTTTCTCATATCAGATTTTTTTTTATAAATATTTTTTTATCAAAAATCTTACATCTTTTTCTCGCCTTCAAAATCTAATCTGGTAGCGAGACCAAAGTCAGCTATCTTCAGTTCCATCTGTTCATTAAGCAACATATTTCCAAGTTTTAAATCCCGATGGATGATACTGTTGTTGTGTGTGTATTTGGCACCTTCCACAAGTTGTTGCAGATAATAACGAACCTCAGGCTCCGTCAAGGTCTTTCTATGTTTGATTACATGAACTAAGGACTGGAAAAACCCCAAAAGATTTCAATGTTAACAAAGTAATAATACAATGAATGATGAAATTGCTTTGTTCTTGAAAAAAGCAATAACTAAAGAACAATATAAATGATTATAGCCTGTCTCAAATTTGGTCATATTTTGCTTTTTGTTGTTTTGTTTTATTTGATTTGTCAACACCAAACTCCTGTACATCAGCACTGAATTATTTTCCATTTATCTGCTAAATTTATCAGAAATGAAACAAGTTCCAGCAGTTAGTTGCTCTTCTCACTTCGATACTGTTAGGAATTTTGCTACTATTTGTTATTAATGGCTGACTGTCTTTGTGTGAAAGCAGACGGACAAACCACCAACTATTTCACTGTTTTCCTAGCAACTTGAGGTTCAGTACTCATTTGCATACAAATTATAAGAGGCTGTGGATATAATGATGGCTATCTGCTGTGAAATTGTGATAGCAGACATTTATTTACTTGTGGGTCCGTCTGGTTGTGTGGTCAGGTAACAAAAACAACATTTTACAGAAAGCTGGAGTCTGGTAAGAGAAGTGTGAAATGTACAGATGTATTGTTGTAAGATGTTTGTATTGTAATATGATTGATATACCATTATTTATTACATACTATATATATATATACATCTGTCAATCATAATCTCACCTTTCTACTACAGTTTTCTAAAATAATATACACATTTTCATCGTCTTCAAAGAAACTGTGGAATTCGACAACATTTCGATGTTTTAAATTTTTCTGTAAGTCCACTTCTCTAATAATCTGAAAAGGGAATAATGTTTTTATCAAATACCGTAAGTAGAAATAACTTTGAAAAACGATGTTTATACGAGACTGATCTCGGCTAGACGCAATATTTAATATTACTCTGGGTCGGAAGATCAACTATTTATTTATTCTTTTATTTTTTTAAATTAAAAAGTTGGATAAAGGTACCCAAGTGTATATCACTGAACAATTGTGTTAAATTTATTGAGATGATTGAGAAAGACTTCAAACAACGTAATAGATTGAGGATCCTTGTCAATGACCTTGAACGGTGACGTTGAAGAATAATATCAGACCAATTTCATTTATTATTTATTTTTAGAAAGTACCGGGCGGTATTTGCTGTGATGAAACTTGTTTAAAGTACAACGCATAGATACTAAACGTTTCCGTGTTTATAACTGACAGCCGGCAAATCAGCCATGAGTAACGGCGGAACTGTCGTCGTCCACTCAACTTGAAGAATATGGCTGATGTAAATACTGTCTGCATGACGTGAAAATGAACATGTCCTGGACACGTTTGGGATGATTAAAAAGTGAGAATTTATGCAGGTCGACTTTAATTAATAAATCACGAGAACATCATGGCAGGCCTAACCCTAACTGTTCGGTACCCCCGTCATTTACCATCTATGTCAAATGTGAACAGTAGCCTACCCCCCCCCCCCCCCAACAAAAAAAACCCCAATTGCTAACCACATTAGATATTTAATTTTATACGAATTCGCCATTGATTTTTCTATTTACTACTTTGTTATAACCTTGGGAATGTGTTATGCTTTCAAACAGAAATTATAAGGCGGCCTATAGTATATAAAAGTCACCGATATCATCTTTTCATGTTGTTAAATATTATGAACGTATTTCATCTTTATGATCACAACAGTTTTACCTTTAGTGAGTCGCGCGGCTATAATGCCTGATTAATGTGATAATGGAGGTTATGGCCGCCTTTTACCTTATTAAAGTAATAAAATCTAACAACAATAGCTACCCCTTTAATGTAAATGAACCTATTAAACCCCGTTGTCATCTTTCATATCATTAGCAAAATGTTGTTTTCATTTGTCGAGGATTGGAAGTCAGAGGTTCAGCATAAATTATAAAATATTCGACATACACCAGTTAAAGGTGAACTTCAGTCTTTGTAATTGTTTGAGGTGAAAGGGGTGGGGGTGTCATTATCTAATATTGTAGAACCTGAAAAGGCAACCATTTCGACTTTAATTTGCAAATTAAGACGTCGGATGTGACCTCCTTAGGGTAATTAGTCAGTTATCAACAAATCCTTGTGCCCGTGCTACTTTCGTCAAGTCGACTGAGGCAGGTTCTCCATTTTCATTCGAGAACTGACGGAACTGCAATCGAGTAACGCGGAACTTCGCCATGTTACAGTTCTAGTATGTCAGTCCCGACAACTGACGTGATGTAAGCGGAATAGTGAAATTGAAATGAAATGAAATGGGGTTTAACGTCCTACTGTTCTGCTCCTAACTGGGCTATGAGGGGAATAGTGATGTAATCAAACATTTCAGGTGATCGGTCGAGTTATATCGTTCGAGCTAGAGAGATTTGAGTTCTGGAACGTTCAATGAAATATCTCCAGATAGTCTTCATTTGATAATCACAGTCGAAATGATTAATTGTACTTCTGGTTATGTATATTTAAAACTTTTTTTAAAATTAGATATGAACCAACAACAGCGGTTGGATTTCTCCTTTAAATATGTCATTCGATTATAATATAGCTGACTTAGAACTTTAAACGATATTTGAAAATAACCATTAAAATTCAATCAATCATAAATATCGTGATATGCATAATTTATTTAAATATGACTAATTCATATTAGTTCGATATGTGATTTGAATTGGAATTCTGAAATATGAAATTTAAATGTGAAGTAATTATCATATCGGGGCATCTTATCAGCCAGTAATTATATAGTTTATAATACCAACCTTCTGTCGTTGATGAGGTTTGGCTATTCTAGTTTTTGAGATGATTTTTCCAGCATATATTTTGTTGGAGTTGAGATCAAGTAATTCATAGCATCTAGCAAATCCTCCCTGAAGAAAAGGAGATACAATATATTAATAAACAAAAATACACAAAACAACCAAGTACGCATTTGCACAACATTACAAAAATGGGATAAAATGTCAATAATTGGTCGGCTATCATTAATGCAAAATACCACCCAAGATATTTATGGTCGTCCTTGTAAAGGCATTATATTAAATTCAAACTGGTATACATGAATTATGAAATCAGAGATCAGAGATTACACAGTTTAAGCCAAAACATAAAATGTTAAAGTACATAATTATCATTTCATTCATTTGTACAGTTCAATATTTCTGGTAAAAGGGACGCTGATTTACTTTTCACTTTTTTTTTTTTAGCAATTTGCCCTTAATGTTTTTTTCTTGTCTTTCAACACGAATTAGTTGATATGAATTTCAACCATTTCAAAGGGAAGTAATACTGTTTCTATAAGCCTAGTTTATTGATAAAGGTCTAAATATGCCATGGGTGGTCACTTCATCATCACTAAAGAAATTAATCCCCTAGCCAATGTAGACATGCAGTTGACGTATTTTAGACATATCTGTGAAGACGAATAATTTAATTTTTCCTACTTCAAAGAAGCTAAGCAATTTTAGGAATGCAATGTAGACTACATATTTATAATAGTATTTACTTTGTTAGACTGTCTATTGCATGTTTCATAGTTCTAGTATATTTCATATCAAAGCTACATATCGTTAGTTTATGTTTCTTATTTCATAACGGCATTTCCGGCACGAAGTAATTCGATAACCTGTTATGCCCTTGTTGAGCTATACAGCTGTGTTTTTTTTTCTAAATAGAACAATTTAGTAAAATGGGACAAGTTTCCGTCAAGCTACCGTAATGTCTATTTATAAACAAATTCTTGACAATCTTTGCACAAGGCTTTAGGCAACAGAGAAATTTTAACATGTTTTATTTAGCCCCAAGATGTGTCTCACAACGTCATCTTTTCTCTCACTCAGCAGCAGAACAAATAGAAAAATATAACGAGGTCTAAACGACACGTAATGCACTTTAACAAAAAGTAGTCTGTTAGTCAATCTTCTTTAAGGGATACAATGAAAATCTATGTGAAATCATCTTCGAGTCGTGATAAAATTTGAAACTAAAAACTGCGTTCTTGAAGCTTTTGCCCACGACCCCTGGACCTCAATATCATTATTTTTTTATGTTGAAAGAGAAGATTATGTAAGCAGGTGCAGTGATATCATCTTACAAAATAGCTGCCATGAACTTTACTTTTATATCTTTGACTGTAGCGGTGATGGTTACAAAAAAACAAAATATTTTTTATCATATGTCATACAAAAGTCTGTAATTACAAGGTTAACGTCCTAAAAGGCATCAAACAGACACTACCGTATATGTCAGCCACAACAACTAATGTGATAAAAACTTACTAATTTGCTGAATGCATACACATGCATGGTACATCTTTGATATTAATGAATAATTCATGTTCATATATTATGTAGCATTATTAGGGAGCATAAATCCTTATCAATGGGGGTTATGACTTTTCTTGTTTAGTACAGTCAAAGCATTCGAATATGATGAGCTTAATACTTTTGTCAAAGTTTAAACTATTCCACTGGTTTTATTCATATTGGATTACTTTGACATAATTGTCAACAACATATATATTGAGAGCAATATAGCAGGTTTCCGTCCCCATCCACTGGTGAAGGGCATTTTGATAGGGGTATCATTTCAATAAAATATGTCTATTGAGGTCCACACTCCCTTTTAGACCACCTACTGTGCCATGACCGACCCTTAACAAAACGAACATTGACAGGTCATACGAAATGGGTGAATAAACAAACATAGTTATTCTATTAGATATGTACGTACGGTTGTTACGTTCAATGTTCTCTTAAAAAACATTTTTGCATTGGAAAACAGTGTGCCCCGAATGGATATCATATAGACATTCTGACATGGCATATTAGTCTAGCTTACGTCAATAATTTTCACGATTGTATACCCAATAAATATCTTTGCCAATGCAATTGTTTTAAGCGTTTCTGTTAATATGACCCAAAAATATCCACTTTGTTTTTCATATTCCTACAAAACAATAACAATGACACAGTTTGTCTTGTTTTGTGTTAATATAAACAGTGTTTGAATTTAAGATGTTTTGGCTTAATCACACGTTAAACAAGAATCTGGCAAGAAGATGACACTGACGGCATAGATCAATACTACTTATATTGATTGTAGCCTCAGATAAAACTAGGAACAGGTTATGCAATGTTTGGTAGGCTAGACACACACACACCAACTGTTGACATTGTCGTTTCCTGCATCAACATTCGTATACGTCTGAATATTGGTGGTAAAAATCTATACTGTTTATCATTAATGTAAATAGCAAACTCAACAGCTTATAAAACTGATCCCTTATGCATTCCTATATTGTAAATTCTGGTAGCCACAAATGGTTTATTTATAGATTATTTCATTTTCTCAAAAATTGACAGAATTAAGATATACGTTTGTGCCTTGTAATTATAAATAAATTAACCCATCTTAAAAATCTTGATGACACCACAATTACTCTGTACAATGCTTTCAAGGGTGAGATATACCAGAACTTATATAGCCAACTAATCGCAACAATAAACAGTTTAGCTGTTAGGTTTCCCATTCAACTGTTACCGTATAAATATTTTCACACCCAGTGGGTCATTTGTCCATAATGGAATTATGTAATGGCAACAACTTGACCACCAAAGACCGAGGCTACTATTCATGTTGTTATCACTATAATGATATTGACTTACGGCGATTTAAGTAACATTTAATACGGTGTAACGGTCACACAAATTTACTTTTCTGATTAACTCAACAACAGACATTTATCTATCAAGGGATTAATCAATTGGGATCTATAAGTTCATACGAAGACATAATTCATTAGCAGAACACCCTTCCAACTACCAAAAGGAAAAATTAGATAATATGAAGACTTACAAAAAGATATGGAACAAAATAATGTTTAGGAAAATGTCAAAAGATAGTCATTGCTGTAAGGTTATGTAAGACATAAAAGTTAACCAAGTACAGTTTCAATGACTAGTCATTAGACAATGTGTAAATCGGAATGGATCAATAACTGTAACATGTATAAGCAATGATGTAGCCTTTATTATTAATAATTCATGGACAGTGACATAATTAGTCACTAAAAATAATCCCTTGATTAATAACAGTATCAATACAAGATTAACATCCTACAGGGTGTGTATTGTTTAATTTAATGTCCTATGCTAGCCTCACAACTTTACGAATAGATACAATTTACTTTCTTTAGTTAATAAACAGTTGTAATATATGGCTATTGTCAATGAATCATCATGTCGAATTTAGATAAAATAAATCCGCGCACTGGAATCGGAATTTTTCCACAATCAGAATCCAGTGTTTCCTACATATTTGTAAGACTAAATCAAGATAGGCGAATTCGACTCGTCATGTGGTTTATTCATTTCAGAAAATTGTTCAACTAAAATCTAGCAAGAGAATTTGGATTTGGATTTTTGGCAATCAAACTGTATAAATCGTCTTCATTGATAACACTGTTTCCAGTAGGTTTGCCATGTTTCTTTTAGCAAAAAAATACCGATACCGCGGAATTTAAGCAGTGTCAGTAAAGTTATATCTAAAGAACCTAGAGTTTTCTTGATAACCCCATCTTATACAGGTGTTTGAGAAAATGAAAATACGCACGTAACGATTTTCTATATTGGAGGAGTCCATGAACAACATTCATATTTTGAGGTCCTGGGAACCATCCAAAATAATTTAAAAGCATCTCGCATTATCAATTCTACACTGGATCCAAACAAAGATACATCTTAATGGCATCCTAGAAACTCTGTTTAAAATTTACATTCCTAATACTCTAATGAAAAAATCTGCTGAGATAATGGAAGTTTACGTTTATTGCTTCGATAAATCAAAAAAAACCCCAAAAAAACAACCATATAGATATCCTCGACCACGAGACAATTATAAAGGTATACAACAAGTATATTTAAATAGACCCTTTAATGGCATGTTGTTGATGTCGTACGAAAGAAAGCCCTAAATTAGTTGGTTTCTTATAAGACCCAGTTCACCCAAACTAATTAAGCACACTCGATCACAAACTTTTATCTACAAGTGTATAGAAAGGGGTCTGCTGCATGCAGTGGGAACTTTTACATAGAGATAAAATCCCCAGTAACAGTAGATCATAAACTGTAAACAAGGGATTTATTTTGACGTTCGACAACAACCATCTTGTCAAACAAATATAACCCCAATACCCGTCTAAACGTTCATCGTCTGCTTGAAACAGGTTCAGTATTTCAAGCATGCTTTAGTTTTATTGTCTGGCGACATTCAACGCCCCTTACCTTCAGTTACAACCACTTAATCGTCTCTATTTATGTAAAGCAACGACCCATAGAAATAGAAAAGGGTAATACAGCACAGCACCACATATGGTAGTTGTTTGCCATCATGTTCTCATTCATTCATTGAATTATCTTAACATTTTACATACATATATAAAGATCTATCTTTAATAAAGAGCAAGTCAGCCGAAAAATAACCCTTGTTCGCTTCTACTGTTTGTGGAGGTTATTGAACACTGTGTGGGAAAGAGAACATTACCTCCTTTAACACGTAGTGTCAAACGTTTGACATCTCTAAAACTATTTTCCATCCTTTTGTTTACAGGCCTGCACGAATTTGGACATCAAATGGACTTACTTCGATATTATTAATTCCCGCATGTAGCCAGCACTTAAATCGTCTGATGTCATACATCCAATTAAAATAGCAGTAAAATGCAAGCAACATGAATCATGGATAAAAGAGAACCGGTTTTGTTTCATACCAACTCATCAATATTTTTTTTTTTAAATCTGAAAATGTTTTTAAAAATTATCTGAAAATGTTTTTAAAAATATCTGAAAATGTTTTTTAAAAATATCTGAAA